CATACACAGTAAGAGCATTGAGGGCGTATGTTGATTGTACACGGCAGCTGAGGCAGGCACACACTCAGCTGTTAATAGTTTATGGTAACAATTGCTTGGGCAACCGGCTGTCTAAGCAGCGCCTGTCCCTCTGGCTAGTTGAAACTATTTCTCAGGCCTATTCATGTCAGGTGTTACCAGTCCCTGAGCATCTGGTGGTTGACTCGAGATGTAGAATGGCAACTTCATGGGGTTTGCTATCACTGATAAATGTGCAGCAGCGTCATGGAGTAATCCATTCATTTTTTCCATATTTTCTAGAAACAATGTGATGTCTGCATTGATCAGCTCCACTGTTTTATGTATCTATGAGACATAACCATGACTGTCACCATCTCTTATCTTGATGCTCAGAACTGGCTGAGGCGTTCCAAGCAATAGGAAGACATGTCTGCCCAGGATGCTTATGCTGTGGGGCTGGCCTCCTCAGGTCAGTCACATGACTTGTTGATATTATGGTCAACAAGTCATGTTTAAGCTTCTCTGTGTCAAGGCGCCAGGTGTGGCTAAATTTTGCTGCAGGATGCTAAAGGATCTGGACATTGTTAGGCCAAGTGGAGGAGTTTAAGTATCTTGGGGTCTTGTTCACAAGTGAGGGTAGTCTGGACTGTGAGATTGACTGACGGATTGGCCGGTCGATCTTCGTTCCAACCCTCACTTATGGTCATGAGCTATGGGTAGTGACTGAAAGAATAAGGTCTTGCGGATATAAGCGGCCAAAATGAGTTTCCTTCAAAGGGTGGCTGGGCTCAGCCTTAGAGAAAGGGTGAGGAGCTCAGACATTCGGGGGGTGGGGGGGGCTCAGAGTTGAGCCGCTACTCCTTTGCAAGTTGAGATGGTTTGGGCATATGATTGGGATGCTTCCCTTTGGAGGTTTTCCAGGCACGCCCAACTGGGAGGAAACCCCATGGTAGACCCAGAGTTCGCTGGAGGGATTATCTATCCCGTCTAGCCTGGGAACACCTCAGAATCCCCCAGGAGGAGCTGAAAAAAGTTGCTGGGGAGAGGGAAGTCCGGGTTGACTTAGGGCGCGGTCACACTGGCCATCCGTACCGTGCCCAAGCAAGCTTCAACCCTAAAGTCCAGTTCGTTTGGCCAGTGTGACTGCTCTGTGCTCAGGCACGGTACACTTCCTTGGCTTTGGCACACTTCGGAGAGGTGTGCTTCGGCATGGTACACTTCATGCACGAGCACAAGCACGCGGGTCACAACGCTGACAGCCTTCATTATGGAGAAATCCAGAGTTTCATGTCTGACTAAAATGACACAATGTAAGCCACAAAATTGCTGTCATGTTCTCTGTGTCGTTCTCCAATGTGCGGGTGCGGACTCGGCCGCGCGTCTATTTTATTTTTTAATTTATTTACGGCTGTGTCTGATTTAAATGGCTTAAAAAGTAGCCGCAAAGTCAGTAAAGTAGCTGTCATGCTCTCTGTGTTGTTCTCCAATGTGCATAATAACATAAAGCGTTCATATGTTGTATTACAACGTTATGTACACGAGGTAATCATGCTTAAGCACGGTTAGTCCTGGCCAGTGTAACCGCAGGTCCGTGACGGCCATTGTGGGAATGGAGCAGCGGGGGGGGCAATCGTGCTTGAGTACAGCATTGTACGGATGGCCAGTACGACCGCGCCCTTACTGCGTTTGCGGGCGCTGCGACCCAACCTCAAATAATAGAAAGAAAATGGATGGATGGACACCTGTGTCTCTGGAATGGGCTTTCAGTATCTTCCTGTGTGCCCTTATAGTTAGTTCTTAGGTCTGCTCATGCTCTGTTCAATGTTTTACTACTCACCTTTGTTTTTTTGCAGCTCTTTTATGCTGACACGACAGAGAGCCAAACGAGTCCATCAAAAATGTTTAATTTCTACAACTTTTGCATTTATTGATGATGTACATGCATAGTGTGACCTATATCTAATGTTTTGTACTTTTAGTTTTTCCTTCTGATATGTTTAGTAGCCTATAAGAACTGCTGTGCTTAATGTTCAGTGCTTATGTATATGCAAAGAAAAAGTCTATGATATAAATATTCAAAATTCCTATGGTAATTTAAACGTACTGTATCTCTCTGATGAAACAGAACGATTTAGTATTTATTGGTAATTCAAAACTTAAAAAAGAATGTGCTAATTGTAAACATTTTTTTCTGCTACGCAGTTTGTTTGTTAATATTATTTCCATCATATGCTATTTAACACAGTTGCACTTGCAGGTGATTAATGTGCTCCAGCCAAAAGTATTGGAAAATACAGACGGACCCAAGATGTTAATACCATTGTTTCTCTTTTTGACCTGACTGTGATTCTTTGCAGTTGGCTGAGCATTACAGTATCAGTAAGTGGGTTCTCCTGCATGGCTGAGAGGGTTTCCATGCTCTGTCACCCCACTCTTGAGTCTTGAGCTTCATATCTCTCCTTCTTTTATCCTCTTGGCCCAGAAATCGAGTAATCATCACCAATCTCAGTGAACACCAGTCATGTTGAGCTTTTTGAGGCATCTGCTGAACAACTGAATTGAAATTTACGAGTGGGTATCAAACACAAAGTTGTACTGCTTTCATATGAATGCACAATATAATGTTATATTATGAGCAAACTAGTCAAAAAAACTTATATACAATTATATTATATTATAATTATATACCTATAATTTGCCAACATATGCCAAAACACCAACCTTTTCATGTTTGATGCTCACATACACATGGTCAAACTGTTGAATTCAGGGCATATCCATTATGAATGAGAGATATAATAGAAGGATGAGGTGGTTGGGAGGGTGAAAGAGTAGTAGACAAAACTGGTGGAAACAGCTCAATGCAATGGCATCCAACATACAACTCACACACTGGAGAAGGCAAAAGTAATGTGTGTGTTAGTGTTTAATCAGTCCAGGTCAGTACACAGAAAAAATCCACAAGGCAAACAAATCCAAAGGGGGGAATTAAGATATTTCAGTGTGTTCAACGGTGAGTATTTTTTATGCAGTCTATGGGCATTTGACAGGATTTTGGTACTGAAAGTGTTATGGTTTTCGTATGCAACACATTTCAGAGGTTACTGGTTGAATGGAAGCATTGAAAAGTTGGCCATCGTTTCTAAAGGTATCCAGGTCTGACAGTAGCGTACGGGATCTCAGGTTGTTAAAATACAAGCTTTGAAAAAAAACTCTTCAATAGGAATGTAAATGAACCAAAGTAAAACTGCTGTGTAATTGTTTTTTTTATAATGCTTGTTTTAAACACAAAGTATGCATAGGACATATTGCAAAGATTGACACTGACATTGTAGTGTTTGTTGACTGTTGTAGAGCAAACCCAAGTGCGTTGCTGACTAGATATATATGGTTTAAGGGCACAGTTATGAAAACACTACAAGCCTGTTAAAGCTCATTTCAATGACTTTGATGACAAACACTGTAACTATACTGTCAAGTTGTTCTCCTGATTACTTCAGCAGCATGATGATGCTACATAACCTGCAGCGTGGGGGGGTTCTTTCTCTATGGTTATAAATTCATCCCTTTTTAGCAGAACAGTCTATAGGGCTATGTTTTTTTCAACATGGTTGTGTTGTCTATAAGATTAAATAATCTAAAGTGCTTTTACTGCCAGTTTATATTAGAGTGTTTGACATCTTGATCCCCTGTGAGGATCAGTGTCTAGCCTCTTCATTATGGACACTTCTAATGCAAACAGCTCACTTCAGACAGTGAGTCACATTTAACTGAAGCATCCAAATAAAACATTCACTTCGGAAGGTTTCTCTTTCCACCTCCAGACTTGTTATGTAACTGAATTTGAGTTCCACAGTGCCAAATGCAACATGTTTCAACTGAGGCAGGCAGATATTCACTAACCAAACTAACTTTTTCAAAAGGGGGGGGGATATAAAAGACGTCAGGTTTTGTGTGTGAGTGACCTGGAACCTGGAATTACATGTGTACAACAGTGAGCCAAAAGAGAGCAGTACAAACTGGTATGACACAGGTCTTAGTTAATAGTTCTTGCATGTAAAATAATTGTATCTCTAGCAAACATTTTCTCTTCTTATATGTAGCCTATCATGTGTAAATCAGAAACACATTTCATCCTAAAAAATAGCTCTAGCCAATAGGTCATTGAGGGGAGAGTTGAGTTATAGCCTATGGAAGTCATAATCAACATGGAGGGGAAGCCTGTTGTCAATGAAACTGTTCAATTATATTGTAAGATGTCAGACCAAGGCTATTTAAATGTGCAGGATGGAGCTATGTGACTAATCTGATATTGCCTACCTGCAGGCTGCCGTTTGTCAACACAATAAATGGCTGGAGGACGAGCATAATAGGCCTACTATATGAAAGCTCTAGCAAAATATCATATCTGGATTAAATTTGACACTAAATAACATGTAGGCGTATAGCTTTACAAAAAAAACAAGACCGACTTCAGTTTCAAAGAAATGCTGCTACATCCCGAAAATGACAGAAGAATTCGTAAGTCTCGTGAAAGAGTTGGAGATAATCAAACACTACAGCCTCATTATCGCTAGACTATAGCCTTCGTCATGGGGAGGTACAGACTTCAGATAAAAGGAAAAGTACACTGCCAGTTTTCCTTCCTGTTCTGGGCTTCTCTAAACGCAGAGCTGCATTAAAACAAGCGGGAACTGCGTATGTTTGCATGTGAGTGGACTTCCTCCTCCTCGTAGGCGCACTTGCTGAAGCGCATCCTCTGCTGCTCTGGCTCAGGCTCTCTGTCTGCTCCTTTAAAAGCAGGCAGCCCACGCCTCGAAAAGCGGCTTGTTCCGGCTTGCCTCTTTACATCTTTTTTATCCTTGCTCACAACGTCAAAATAGTGCCCCCTCCCCCCCCCCCACCACCCTGTGTCTTAAAGTTGCGCACAGGCATTTTCAAGACCGTATTAGGGCTAACTAAACGTGGTCCCAGACGGACCATATCGGCGATGCATAGCGGTGCTTTAGCTCTCCGCCTGTGCAGCCCGGTGGGTGAAGCTGAGGCGCATCTCGGGCTCCGTCACCGGCGGAGCGATACCACCATCTCCTCTCAGCGCTGGTTTGACAAACAGAGAGTGTGTGGCGCGCTGTACCTGAGCGAACGTGTTCGTCATATGCTCGCAGAAAGGGGGGCAGAGGACCAAAACTGGACCAAGGGACCTGTATCTAATGCTCTGAAATGCAGTGCCGTGTCATTCTGGGGTCAATAGTTATCTATCTGGGCTGGCTGCAGTGACTGCTTTGCATCTGATGAAGATTTTTTTAACATTTTTTTTTTTTACATGTATTTTGATGCGCGTCTATGGATGAATATGTTTACACTGATGCTGTGGTGTAGTGCGTGAGGTAAGTGACTTATCCAGAGGTGCGTGCTACTTTCTGCTGCTCCCCTCTCTTCTCTTTTTCTGTTTTCCCCCCGGCCTTAAACGAGGTTTCTTTTAGCAGCTTCAGATTTCAGAAATAACACCGCAAGACCTGGAACTCTTAGGCTCCAAATTCACTGTCATTTTCTGCAACTGGTGCTGATGGAGCCTTGCATGAAGGCTGGTTGTATTCAAATAATGGGCCCTGGCCCATCATTGCACAATACGAAATTTAAACGAGTGTTATTTTATGGCGTCTAGGCAGGGATTGCATAATGTAAAGCAACATAAAACTCTTCAAATGTGGGTAAATATGGGATTTTGGAATTAGCGCAAATTGGAGTGGAAGTTCCTCTTTAGTCTCAAACTGACTGCTTAGCCCCAGAACATTTTCTTAGTTCAGGTGTTGCATGTAATTCCCAGCAGCCTTCAGTCTGACACTGTCATAAAGTTTAAGTATGCAGCAGCTTGTCAAGCTGTAGGTTACTGCAACCTGCTGAGGCAACATGATATTCTGACAAAATGATCCAAGGTTACAACAAACTGATGCTTCCCCAAGATTGCGTAACTCTGGGCTGCTCTTCTTTCTGCATAAACTCTTCACAGGGGGGTAACAAAGTAGGCCTGGCCTATACTATACAGGATGTTCTGTATATGCACTGCAGCCTTACGGTTGTCCTGCCTCTCATCCACAAACCACCCCCACACACTGTGATGACAGCCATAATGAATTAATAATCACACAGACCCACATACCCCCACTGTGCACTCAAAAACAAGTGAGCGAGACGTGGTGGAACAACTGTAGTAACCCTGGCGTCTATTATGAAGAGAAACATTTTCATATGACAGGAGAGCTAACTTCTCCAGCCAAATAGCATTATCTTATCCTACAAAAACAAAAACAAATACTAAATGATGTGAAGGGTAATGCTTATTTATGATGTGATTTGATGTGTTTTTCATTTCAGACTGGAAGTGCATTATAGTGTTTATTACTTATTTCCCTTAGAGAATCATACTAGACCATATCCACTACAGTTAGTGTTTTTTTTGTTGAGCCTAACAAAAGATTAACAACATCATCATCAGTGTTAATGTTTAACTTTCTCTTCATCTTTCACCTTCCTGCAGCAGTTTCAGGAAAAGTTTTCATTTCACAGTCATTGGCTGCAGCTCCCCCAACCCACTGAAATAGAAAGTTTAGTGTTTCAGTCAGTATAAACACAGCCTGCTTCTATTTGTTTCACTTCGTTTAAAATAAGTTATATTATAATGAGTAAAAAGTGAATTTCCTTCTATTCTTCTGAGCTTGCTAAACTTTAAAACAATTTTACAGTATTACAGGGTTTCTTTTTTTACGAGAATATACTGTTGTGGGTGTTAAGTTTCAAATCCTGTTGTGTGTTGTGCACTAGTCTGTTTCAAGACCTCGATCAAATGTATGAGGTCATTTAAGCAGCTTCATTTAGTGAGTCTGTCATAGCACCGATGAGAAAGATTGCTTCAGTGAAGAATAGTACTGTCTTGAATGAAAGAGTCATTAATCATCAAGTTTTTTTTTAAATAGTATTTGCTGATTTAATTCCATCTTCATTGTAACTAATATGTTTTTTGTAAATTATCCAGATTTAGTAAATCTGCTCCCTGATAAAAAAAAAAAAAACACCAACCCAGTCTTGCTGATTCTGTGATATACCAATCACTTGTGTGCTTACTCTTGCTCTTTGACATGCTGGTACATACACACAAACTCGCACACAAACACACATACACTGTATGGTATGTTCTAAATCTGGGGTCATGGTGACACCGAGAAGGAGTCTGGGGGCTTCATGTTACTTCCGATAACTCTGCTTCAGGTTGAACTCATGTTCTGCAGGGAGGTTTTAGTGTGTGTGTTTGTATGTATATGTCTCCGTACTTTGCCTAGCTTATCCCTACTGGTTGTTGATTTAGTCAAAGTTTTAACTTGTTGTTTATTGTTCAATTTTGTTTGCATTTTGATCATATCAAGATGGCAGAAAGCATGGAGCATGAAAAAAGGGATGACAGGCAACCCTGTGGTGTGTGCCTAAGACCACGAGGTCATGAGGAGACCACAGACTCACAGCTGTCTGAGCTATGATGTCAGTTTGGCAAACATATCATAATTGCTTAAATTGATATATTTTTTAAACAAAGAATGAAATGTTCTTTCCATTGTTTGTCCCCTCCCAGTTTAATGGCTGATGTGTCTTCCTACATATTCAGGAGTGCGATGGAGATATTCTGTTTTATTCAGTCCTCTGGGCCTCAAACTGAGGTTTCATAGTGACAGTGAAATGCCATGGCACAGCGGCACAGTGGCACACACACTCACACAACAAATGCCTGCAAGGATGGAAAAAGTCACATACACACTCAAGTTAATTCTGAAGATCCCAACACAGCCACATCCACTACTACTACAGTGCTAACCTTAGCTCCGACTATAACTTAAACCTAATCTCTACATGAGGGTGTGTACTGCGTAGAAAGCCTCCCATTGGCTAATTGCTATTCCACCTCCTTCTATTCTGCCTTCGCTTGCGCTGCTACATTTCTAAGCTTGATTTAAAACCTTGTAAAACGCAAAAAAGAGGTTGTCTTCCCAACATTTCAGCCAAAATATGGTGAGAAGAATCTGCCAATGTAACAACACTGACCTTCACCCCTATACAAATCTAACTTTAACAAAAAGTAAGTCTCATATACCTGAACCAAAGTCCCCTGAAGAGTGACAGCGGGCACTCTGCCTACCGATGGCAAAAATGTTCTCACCTCATTGTTCACATGAACACTTTCTCCAAACAGTCTCTCTCTTTCTTTTCCTGTCTCTGTCTGTCTTTGAGATGTGCCAAAGGAAAGTCCCCCCCCCCCCCTTACAGAGAAGGGGGGGCCAATTGAGGACTCACTGTCCTGAGCCAGATGATAGCTCGCCAACTGTTGGCTGTAAAGACACAATGTACTTCTCATCTTCCCTCCCTGTAGAGTGGATGGCTCAACAGGCCCCTACAGCAAAACACTGCTTAGGTTTTATGAAATTCTTCTTTTAAGGACGTTTTGCTCTTAAAATGTGATGTTTTTGCTCACGTCTAAAATAACATAACTCACAAACGTGTCTTACACTATAGGACCAGAAAGACTAGATAGATAATTTTCTCATTTGAGATAAATCAGTGGGGGAGAGAAGTATGAAGAAGTCGAGGTTTCAAGCAATAATACAACACGCCCACTTCTCCCTGTCACAAGACTGGTCTTATTCATGACTGTGGGGGCTTTTTGTGTGTGTGCATACATGAGTAGTTATCCATTCAGGCAAGTAATGAAAGTCTTGTGTACCTCGTGATATTCTGGACTCCCCATGTAGGCCTACGCTGTAAGATGATTATTATAAATCTGCAATGTGCACTTGCTTGTATGAATCCATGTGTGAAGGAATCATTTGGTCTGTGTGTGTTGGCACAGGCTGATATTCTCTGTTAAAAAAAAAAAAAAAAAAAAAAAGGTGTAGGCCAGCATTTGTTCAGTGCAGGAACAGGTGGCTGTCAATGTAACTACAGTCCGTTTATCACTGTGGACAGCTGCCCCCTGAGTTTGCACCATGCACTCCCTGTACCGCGGTCACACAGGGGCTCGCATAAAAACTGCCCGCCTTCTTCTTCGTCTCTAAATTTACCCTTGAAGCAGTTTCTTTACTGTTCTTGAGACGGTGGTACAGCAGTTTGTGAGGTAGCATAGTCGTCTTATTTGATGTTATCTCTGGGCATCTCGCGGAAGGTTTAAGATGACGCACGAAGTCAGAGCGGAGCTGTCCGTGCAGCCAAAGAGGGCAACGCGGGAGGCGCGCGCTGCGCACAGCCTGCAAGGTGAGTATACCTGGCAATATACTGCTGGGACGGCGCCATTGTTATGCAAACGGTCGACATTGAAATACATAACTTATTTAATAGCGCGAGCAGTCCCACTTACTTTCATTTTTCTCATATAATGTTCACATTGCAATGTAGGCTTTTGTATCTGTTTTTAAAAAAAGTTCTTGAAGCTTGTACAATTTGGAGTCTTTTTCGGGTTATATTTTTCTAGACATTTAGCCTTTGTTTTGACACATGCACTTGTACGAGACAATAGGCGATGCATTTATATAAAACGAGGCCCTCATCTGTTCCCATGTTGTCAAAACATAGACACAGTCACACTCAGATTCCAGTTTAGGTCTATTTAAAACAAAACATGTAAGGTTAGTTAAACAAGACGCTTGGTCCTCTCTTATCTGAGTTCTTGTAAGAGTTTATTTTACTGTGTCTCAGCCGTTAGTTTCTTTTTTGACACCTGCGCTCTGAAGGTACCAGCTGTTATTTTTGGTTTGCAGTTTGAACAGATGTGACAGATTCAAAGCAACAGGTGCTGGCTGTCTGCTGTGCCCCAAAAAAGAAGCAATGCTATGCATAATGGAGCCAATACTGGTCCTTTTGTTTTTTTTTGTTTTTTTGTTGTTGCCATGTTCAATTGAATAATAAAAAAGGGTCTAGAGGTCATGGAAAGAGTAAGATCACAAAGGCGTGATTGTACTGTTTTGTAAGAAAAGGAACATTTCGTGCTGTGAAGCACTTTAGGAAATTGTACAAATAAAGGACATTTTGATAAGACGTGACAGGAAATCAGTGGAAAAATAAGAAAAGCCTGGATCAACACAGAGTTTAGGAGTGGGTTATGTTTTTCCTAGAGCCAGAGAGCTGTAGATGTCAGTCAGAACGAGAAGTTGACATACTATATATATCCTGGTGGCTTTCTCCTATTTTGTTATTTGGTTCATTCACTGCCTGCATGTTTACTCACCCCCACAGCCCATCCCTTACTCATTCGAAACTTGTTGAAGGCAGAAGTTGTTTCATAAAGTGAACTTCTGAAAAGTTAAAGATTAAATTGCTATACTTAGCAATAAGTCATGGCATTGTGCAGCGTTTTGTGCAGGGCTTTGGAGTTTCTGATCTGCTCAAACCAACCTCTTTTATTCTTGATGTTTTTTTTATCTCTTCAGATATTGATTTGTTTCTTTGCCTGTATTTAGAAGTAAAATACTCATGGCAATCAAAAGAAAGACCACCAACTGGAGACCCCAAATATGAACTCCTTTAAAAAAACACACCCATCAAAGCAAATGGTAACTTCGTTCTTCCAGATATTCGTGGTCATGTAATTAATGTGAAAAACATGAACTCAATAAATGGTTCCATCGATAAAAATGTACAACAAATATATGCTATTTATGCATATTGGTAGAATTCGATGATTTGAAATTGTAACACCCAAAACCAAAAATTTAAATTATTATTATTTTTTTTTATTTCATTGGAAATGATCAGAAACCGAATAGTGCACTTATTTTAAAAGAAACAGAAAACAATGCATAAAAACACATGTATCTAAGAACATATTACACAAGCACACAATAAACGTCAGACACCTTTATCTAAAACTCTTAACAATGTCAGCTGTACTTGTTGATGTAATTGTATGTTCTCCTTTAAAATTGAAACTGTCTTATTACATTATTTTGTTCTGTGGGTTTTTTCAGTCATAGTGTTTCTGAACACTCTCTTCAGTCAGCAGTCTCTACAGTCTATGTAATGACCTAACAATGGCTTCATAACTTTGTGTCTTGTTTCTCATAGTCATTACTGGCTCAGGTGAGCAGGAGCTGTTGTCAGGCCTCGTTGTCATGCATTCACCCTGAGCTGGGTGACGCCATCCTCAGCGTAGCAGCGGCAGGATGCCGGTGCAGGCGGCCCAGTGGACAGAGTTTCTGTCCTGTCCCATCTGCTACAATGAGTTTGACAGCAGTGGCCACCAGCCCATCAGCCTGGGATGCTCCCACACAGTGTGTAAGACCTGCCTACACAAACTGCACCGCAAGGCCTGTCCCTTTGATCAGACGCCAATCAGCACGGATATCGACCTGCTGCCGGTCAACTGCGCTCTGTTGCAGCTTGTCGGGGCTCAGGTGAGTCAGGAAGAAGAATGGCAAGTCAGTGTCAAAATGTGTAGACGTTTTTTTTTCCGTTTTTTTTTCTTGTGGACTTGTGTGTGCTTATGTTATGTGTCTCTTAGGTCCCAGATGTGCAGCCGGTGAGCCTGAGCAGTCCAGCCGAAGTTGAGAACTATGAGGCGTGCAGGGTGTGTGTGGAAGAGCTGGCTCTCTACCTGAAACCGATCAGTGGAGCAAAAGGTTTGTAGGTTTAATTATTTGTGTGTTGTTGGAGAATTGTCGACACATTTGTGAGGAGAATGAAACTCTTTGTACTGAATGTGTGGGAGATGCAGTTGAGCTGCCTGTACAGCTTGGCATTCATATTTCTAACACCTCTCATGACGCCTGAATGCTGAAAAAATCAGCTTGCTGCGTAATAAGACAAGGCAGAAAGGCCCTATTGAATTTCACTTGTTCCGGTTGTTGGTTCAGTCAATTATGTGTGATGTTTACTTTGTGGTTTGTCATTGTTACTGAATTAGATACTTTGAACAGTTCCCTCTGCATCATGGTTTGGTTCCTTTAGATGTATTTGTGAAAGATTAGAGGCCTGATAACTCAACCATTAAATGAAGAAGCTTGTCAGTCCTTATTAATTGATGGCCATGACAGCCTTGTCAATGCTGCTTGTCTGTTAATTTTTGGTTTTGGGTGCTACATTTCTTTGTTTGATTGCTTTACATTAGATGAAATATTTCCTAAAATGACAACTTTTAAAAATGACAAGGTTCCACAGAGACACTGTTTTTAATACCCTCTACAGGTGTGGCGACACTGAGTCCAAGCGTGCTCAGTCGGCCGATGCAAAGGAAGCTGGTGACGCTGGTGAACTGCCAGCTGGTGGAGGAGGAGGGACGTGTGCGTGCAGTGCGGGCAGGCCGGTCTCTGGGCGAAAGAACAGTAACTGAGCTCATCCTGCAGCACCAAAACCCCCAGCAACTATCTGCCAACCTCTGGGCAGCGGTCAGGGCGCGGGGCTGCCAGTTTCTGGGACCTGGTGGGTGCGAAAGACGCACAGCACTCATACATTTCTGTAATATAAATATCATTCATCAAAACTCATAAACCTTTGAGGCATGGCTTCACATTTGATTTTAAAGACATTTAAAAAACAAAACACACTTTTCTGAGTTTGTGTTATTGTTGTAAAGCCTGTTGACGTTTTGAATGCAACAGGATATAGCCTATTAGTTGACTGGACTCATGGTGTCCAGTAGCTGTCTTGTGAATAGTCTAAATTGCCTGTTAAGATTGCCTCATCAGAATGACTGCTGGTGCTGGCACCCGGTGTCCTGTGATGATTACTCATAGGGCAGATTCTGACGGGAAACTGTTTCTCATCATGATAACAGAATGAGTTTATTAACAGTCTGAGGACACCTGGTTCAAAATGAGTTTGTTGTTTTGTTTGAGGATGACATATTTTCCATACTTTTCCTGCATATGCATGATTGTTGAATATGTTTCTCTTATTCTCTATATTTCTCTCCCACTGTCTCTTTCCCCACCTCTTCTGACATGTTTTCATCAGCTATGCAAGAAGATGCACTGAAGCTGGTTCTTCTGGCCCTGGAAGACGGCTCAGCTTTGTCCAGGAAGGTGTTGGTTTTGTTCGTAGTCCAGAAGCTCGAGGCTCGCTTCCCACAAGCCTCTAAAACCAGCATAGGCCACGTGGTGCAGCTGCTCTACAGGGCCTCCTGCTTCAAGGTACAGGTACCAGGAGGGAGCATGCAGACAAAGATACACAACTAAACATTGAATATGTGTACATTTAAGAACATTTGAGCCACAACAAGCTCTTTGGATATAGTCTACGTCAAAGTGAATTTAAAAAAAAGCTCAGTTTGCTGATTTCCCAAGAACACAAGCCATAATAAATGACCTGATTAAATGAGGGGTATTTAAATAGATTCTCATCTACCACATATTATTTACAGCAGAGATAGTGCTTCAACTGAATACTTTCTTTATGTCATCAGTGATTCATGCTCACAAACACAATTACTTCAGATTTAGTCAAACCGTCTAACGAGTGTCACAAAACCACTTTTCAGTTGTGGATAACACTTCAACTCAACTTGACCTGGTTCAGCATGAAAAGCTTTTTCATTCTCTAAAGGGCGAACTCATCCTGCTAACATCTTGTCCTACATTAAAAGTCATGTCTGTAATAAGGATACAGGCTTCTGCGGGGAATATTTACTATGTGCAAGTATATTTTTGGGTCTGTTATCTAATGACAGACATTGCTGGTAGGGTAGATATGCCAGCTATCTGTTGTGATGTAACAGCAGTTTATATTTGCCCTTGTTGCCCCGACTTGCATGACACAGATAGACAGAACATAGAAGCTGAGAAAGATAGATGGAAGTGAAGGAACGGGGGAAAAAACCTGCGGAGGTGGAAAATAGAAAAGATGAAATCTGACTGTGTGTGGTTGTAATTTGTACTGTTACTCTGCAGATTTGTAAGCGATACAGTACATGGTGTTGGTGTCTTATGATGATTACTCATAGGGCAGATTCTGAGAAGGGGAAATACCCTTCATGTGATCTGAATTTGAGTTCATTAGCCTGAAGACACCACAAACAGACAATCACTAGTTGGTAAACTGAATATGACAATTAGTATTTAGGACCTACCAAAACATAATAGTATTTTATTTTGAAGAAACCAATCTCCCCTAGATGACTATTTCTTTTCTCAATGGTAAACATCTTCCAGTCTGACCATACTGTCTCTCTCTTTTTCTTCTTTCATTTTTTTAAAATCAATCTACCGTCTCAATCCATCCTTTTCCTTGTTGTTTCTCCCGCCGTCATCCTCTCTCTCATCTGTCAGGTGACTAAACGCGACGAGGACTCCTCGCTGATGCAGCTGAAGGAGGAGTTTCGGACGTACGAGGCTCTGAGGAGGGAACACGACGCTCAGATCGTCCACATCGCCATGGAGGCAGGCTTACGTATTTCACCTGAGCAGTGGTCGTCTCTGCTGTATGGAGACCTGGTCCACAAATCACATATGCAGTCAATCATTGACAAGGTACCAGTATGATTTAAAAGCTTGGCAGTAGTAACAAACTTTTAGCATTGACTATTGATAAACTCATGTATAAAAAAAAACATAGTAAGTAAAACAAGCCTCTTGAGAACAGACACATAGCTCAAATACCTTTATCTTTTTTATTTTTCTTTAAAAGGCTCACTCTCCTCTTCCATCTTCTGCTCCAGTTGCAGTCTCCAGAGTCTTTTGCTAAAAGCGTTCAGGAGCTGACAATCGTCCTGCAGAGGACTGGAGACCCTGCCAACCTCGCCAGCCTTAGACCGCACCTGGAGCTACTTGCTAACATAGACCACAACCCAGGTAGTAGCAGCAAACTATTACATTTTTCAGTCTCAGCAGTACTTTGTTGAGTGCGAATTGAGCACATTATAGCATGCCAACATACTTAAACAAGATGCTGATCAAGATAATCACTAAATCTGTGCAGCATTAAGATGTTAGTGTGTCATTGTGACAAGTTCAGCATGACAATGTAAGCATTTAGCGCAAATCAGCATTGTGGAAAAGTAAAGCCTGATAGAGGAGCCTAGCATGAGTGTAGCTTGGTGTTAATTGATCCTCTTTTCATACAGGATAACTTGTCCCAGACATTTTCTATATGTATGTCTTTTTTATTTAGTATAAATTATAGACAATGATAAATCTCAGGCGCATGTGTCCTTGTCTGAGAAGAGTGTTTTACCTCGACTTGAAAGAACCAGGATGTCTAATTTGAAAGATTTCTCTACTAAAGAGACTTAACTGGTGTTGTTGATATGGCTGCAGATGCACCGGCACCTTCCTGGGAGGAGCTGGAGAGTGTGATGCTAGCCGTGAAGTTGGTGGTTCACGGACTTGTGGAATTTATACAAAACTTCAGCAAGAAGAGTCATGATACTCCACAGGTACTTTAATAGGTTACAGGAATAGATTAAAACAGTCTTACTAATTAAATAAGAAAGATGAGATAAGACGATTACTTAAATGAGCTTGGCAGAATAGTAATGCCTTATAATTTGGGGATTTGAAATAAAATTAAAAAGATTTCTGGTGCTCCAGCCAGGCTGAGGCGAAGTCTACTGACATGGAAGATAAGATTTTCTGTTTCCAAGAGCACATTTTGTTCCTCCTGCCTCTTTGTTGGTTTAGATAACACAACATGGTCCTTGTCCACTTGCAGCAGAACAGTAATAATGTAACTCAGACAGAACAAAGTATATTCTTATAATCAGGAGATAATGTAGCTGTTTTCTCTTACCAAGCTCATAGTATAGTTAAAAAAAAGATCTGTCAATTAAGAGGCAAACTGTTTTGAAAAAGCAGCCCTGCTATAAAAAAAAAGTGTGTTCATTTAATTTTTAGTTACTGGAAGTGTATCGTTTCCTTCCGCAGCCTCAGGCCAACAGCAAGTACAAGACCAGCATGTGCCGAGACCTTCGTCAGCAGGGAGGCTGTCCCAGAGGAACTAACTGTACATTTGCTCACACACAGGATGAGCTGGAGAAGTGAGTGTGCACTCATAAACTCTCAGAGACTCTCCTTTCTAGGTCATCTGTGTCCACACATCCTTTTTAAACTCCATTTCTCTAAAGTATCTACTCGTATTTATTTTACACAAGGATTTACAAAGACCCTCTGTGACATGGGTCTTGCAATTATAAGGATACACATGTGCAAGACTGCAACTGTTGTACATTATTACAAATCCTCAATCTTAAAACGTTTAAGAAGATTTATCTCTTCTGAGGGAAAAATGAATCCAGCATAACACAAACATAAACTAAAATCCTAAGATCCCTGTTTTCCTGTCTTCTTTTTACAGATTTAGACTAAGAAACAAGAAGAGCACCAGTGTCAGCCGTGCGTTCCCTCTAGCACCAGGGGTTATGGGTAAAACCTTCACCATGGAGGGCAGCCTGCACACTGATGTGTCTGCAGGAGTGGGGCAGGGGCTCAAAGGCACAGGGGAGAACACAGCTGCCCTGACAGAGGGATTGCCCAGCCTGACTCACCCTCAGCTGGTCCCCAGAGGGGCTGACGTGATTGAGGACTTGAAGAGAGTGGTGCCAAACGGATCCAGTGGGGCTAACGGGACCAATGGGCTTCCAGGCACCAACAGAAACACACCTGGCTCAAATGAACAGTAAGATTGATAAACCCAATAAATCATTGATGCTTGTAATTCTTCGGTTTTGGCATTTAACCCATTGAACTACAACTACATATCATCAAAGTAAAGAACATTTAAATGTAAAGTTTCCTGCGTGGTCCTTGACCTCGTTTACATTTGATTTCATGCTGTCAATTCCACATTTACAAGTAACCTGGGTATGTAGTCTTCATTAGATTTTGCAGTTTGATTATGACAAAAAATGCCCTGCGAAAAATGCTGGATGTGCTGAGGGGAAGGTCTGACTTTAGGTATCACCAACTGCAACCGAGCGGCATTTTGTTTTTTGGCCTTTTCTTCATGTTGATAGTGTTGAAGAAATCATAAAATAAATATCTGATGTGTATAGAGAAGGGGACAACTGCTGTTTTTTTTCTATGTGTTGACATTTGATGGCTTTTTGGGTTTTAAGAAAACTGTTAATGTCCATAAAAAGTGCATCCAAAATAGTTGTATTTACTATGTGTTGAATTTAGCAGTTGAAAATGTATAGGTTTTGTGGTCCTATTTGTTATCTTTTTTGAATTGTTAATCTACATTTATTGTATACGCATGTTCAAGACATACATTATTCTACATGTTGCCTTTTTCTCCAATAGAAAGCCAATCTCTCCTTCCAGAACTCCAGTCAGCCACTCTTCAGCCTCGTCTCCCTTGGCAACTGTTGGACGGGGCGATGGTGTTGCCCTATGCCTAAACATGGTCCTTTCCTTCTGCGTGCACCACATCCTTCTCAGGCGTCAGAGCTGTACTATCATGATCCCCACTCTGCATATGAAACCACCCATTATCCCCCAACATGTGAGAAAAATAAAAAAAACTTTAAGAAAAAAATAACATTTATCGTTGTCTTGGAAAGTACAAATGAATGTATTTTACTTTTCATTTCTCCTCCTCAGCATGTTCCTACTACCCATCTACTCTTCATCCTCCCCACAAAACTTGCATGGCTCGCTTCCTTCGATCCTCCAACGTCCCAGAATCCTCCCTGCCCCCCTCGATTGGCCCTCCACCATCTTCCTACCCCGGCGATCCTCAGACGCAGCACCCACCTGTCTCCTCCTCTTCAGGATACCCACCACACCCACCTAGAGATCGTATGGTACCTCCAGCCTTCCATCACCACCCAGGGCAGCCTCCTTATGGGCCTCTGGCTCCTGCTCACGGTGTTTATGCTCCCCTATATGACAGCAGGAGAGTTTGGAGACCCCAGGTGAGCAGGCTGTTAATTATCAGGTGTTAAGTCAACCCTGTTGTACCTTTTACTTATATTGATTTTTTTTTAAAACATTACAGCTGTACCACAGAGAAGATGCCAGGAGTAACTCTCTGCCCCCAGAAGTGCTGCACTCCTCCGTATACCAGCCTCCACTCAGGGAGAGATTCAACTCTTTAGACAGCAACTACTGCTCTGGAGCTGAACACCGGCTACACAGGGTAGGTCAAACAACTCACATTTATAGGAGGCTGTAACCCTTCTGGCCATTGATTGGCTGAAAATAGTCTCTAACTCAAGTCCATTATTACAAAGATAAAGGCAAAGATTACAGTGTAACAAGACTTAGAAAAGACCAAGACCTTCAGGGATTCAAACCAAGATTTAGACGGGGAGTGTCCAGGTCACACACTGTATGATAAATTTAGAATAATCTGTTCAAACCAAATCTATATATCACTTAAGAATATTTTTTTTCATTCAATTTTTTTTCTTTTATCGTAGCCTGTACACCACGTGCTTATCTACATGTTTGCTTTAAATGCCTTTGCAAGCAATCGGCTGCATTTGAAATATGATGTTATGCACACAGTTACCGGACTATTTTAAATCATACAAGGCACAGGCAGTTTAGCAATATCCCCAAATCCCCCTCAAAATACAGTTGAGTGCTAGACTAGCCTGAGACCTTTGTAAAGTGACCTTGAGACCGGCCTTAAAACCAAGACTGATCTTTGAGCACTACAACACTGGCTGAAGAGGTTATTTTCAGTGATCAACGAAGCTCTGATTCCACCAACATTACTATTTAAACCGAAGAAGAACGGTATATCAATCACATAAAGTCTTCTGCCTGGCTTTTACTTCACTACTGCTTGTCCCACTTGTTTGAGTCATGTTGATTCCACATTTGACGTTAGCAGTGCAAAGAAAGAATCTATTTAAAGAAGTCGTACAATAAGAGAGATAATCCATTCTGAGCCATACAGTAATTAAAAAATAAATCTCTCTGCCGAGGGTTATATTATAATGAGTTGCTTCTTGTTTTTCTCGTCGCAATGGAATGGAACCAGTAAATCCAGTGATGAAACCTATTATTGCCTGATGTCGGTCAGTCTAACATTGGACAGATTTATTGCTGGATTATTTTCAGTTTCACGTTTCCTTTCCTCCGCTTTTTCCTTTTTCCACCCACATTTCATCTCACCTCTACCTTCTGTGCCAGCCACAGAGCTGCAGTACGAAGCAGCCTCCTCTGTAGTCCTCCCACTTCTCACCCAAATATGTCTCTGTATGCCCACTCACTCCCATCCTCCTCTCATAATCTTAAGAGTATCATCAGTATGACTACTGCAAAACTATAGTTAACCAGTCTCATCAATGATTCTGTGTGTAGCCACATTGGCTACATTGGAGACATATTGCAAATTACCAAAATTGTATATATCCTAAGTGCGTTCATTTGTGTCTTCCAATACGATCACATCCATTCTGCTTTCTTTATATACAGTAGCACATTTAAAAATATTAAAGTTAACCAAAGTGCTGCACCGTCAATGAAAAGCAGAAATGAGACATGGCAGGTATTAAAACAAAGTGACATAAACAAGCACATAAGAACACTATAAAATATAAATATAAGAGACATAAAAACATAAAACACATAACAGCCAGTTAATCTCCTTAAAGATACAGTGTCTTAAAAAGGGATGTTGAAAGCTGAAGATCTTTGTAGTAGACTATTTCCCATCATATATGCAGCAAGACATTTTTTCCATGCACTATTGTGAGTCAGATAAAGTCAAATAATCTCTTAATTATTATTATTATTTTTTTGGATTAAAGTACCAATTATACATTGCAATTAATGCAGATTAAAGAACCTGCAATAAGAATATTTAGTATACCTCTTATTTCCACCATCAAATGTTCATAACATGGTATAGCAGAGCCTTATGCTTAGAGAGACCAAACCACAACGTATTAGCTTTCTTTGTTCTTTTTTCTAAAGAAAATTACTGGAGAGTTGTTATTGCAATGCATTATGTTACATCTTATGCATCTGTTGTTATTGTTTCCACCACCATGTAATCAGTAAAAGCCATTTTCTCTTTGTAGAGATGTCTAAACTTGAACACTTCTAACAGAACACTTCGATCTGAGGGAAGGTTTTACAAAAAAACAGATTTACAAAATTGATAAACTGAAAGTTAGAGTACTGTGACTGCAGAAGTAAATCTCATGGTTTCAATACTCATTGGTTGATTAAAATGGTTAAATATATTATTATTATTTTAATATAAGTATCTGTTCTCTCCTTTTTGACTTTGTCTGTGGTATCCTATGCTGTCTATGCAGGATTACGGCCGTGTTCCTCTGGGTTATGAGGATCTGTTTAGGAGGAAGCAGGAACAGTGGGCTCATCATCACCACCACCACCATCACAACGCCAACAAACCCTCCCAGTCCTCCCCCATCTTCACCATTGATTTTGGAACAGAGGTAGGAGGCAAATTAACGAGACAACATATGTACACTCCCGAATGCACACTGTTGCAGGCTTTAATATGCAACTAAAATATAATGCCAAACGGACCAATCTATTACTGTTTGACAGCAGCCTGCTTCAAGGATTAATAAACAGCTTGTGTATTTTTCCATTTTTAAATATATAGGATTTCATTCCCATCCCAGAAGCTTGCGCTTCCGCTGTGTCCAATGCTATTTAAGTGGGAGATAGTTGCCTAGCAACTGTGGAGGCAGATATCATAGCAAAACACAATTGTGGCATGTGTGTGGGTGTGTGTGTGAGAGATAGGGAAAGAGAAAGCGAGAGTAGGGACTTTAACAAGCAGTGACTCAGGCTTTCGGCAGAGTAAAGCTTTGTTCAGCGGCACATCAGATAAGACGTCCTCTTCAAGAACTGAGCTCTTATTAAGGAAACCACAAGAAGTTTTTAAGTGTTTTTTAATTAACTCAATTTAATTTTGATGCCTCTGTCAAATGAGAAAACAAGATCCATAGTGAGAAGGAGCAGTTTTTCTGGTTTTTGAAAGTGGAGCACTTGCCCACTGGTTGGCAGCTAAGTGGCATCATGTCATCGCCATCAGTGAGAGCATAAATTCAAATCAATAAGCAGCCAAGGCAGTTATATTAAAAAAAAAGGCTATATCTGTAAACCTGCACATTTTGTTCAATGATAATCATATTCATCTTTCATCTTTATATAATCATCATTACCAATCACACTATCCATCTTCATGAATCAGGTCCAGTGCTTTACTTAGGTGAAGTTTAAGGTTTAAGAACTTATCTGTACTTTCTACTCTCTACGTTTCAAAACAGTCTCGTTTGCATTATTGTGTGCCTCCTGTCAACATCAACACAGATTTCAACCAAACAGTAAGAAACACATAAAAAGTATCAAGACATTGATGAAAGTAAATCCGTAAATATTAATCACATCTGAGCAGATTCAAAGCAGACACACTTCATCCAACTTGTTAACTCATTTAAGGAAAATAAATGTTAACTTTATTATTTCAGAATATTGTTCTTTTATTTATTAAGTTAACATTTCAAGCAGTAACAGTTGGCACTGTAAGGACATTTAAGAGCCTGCCGCTTTCATTGCACAGTAAAAAAGATTGAATTACTTCTTCTACATTTGATTTGATTTTTACACAAGCCTTTTTAGATCTGCTTGAGTATGTATGAAAGTACTTAAACGTCTACTTCAACACATGATTTCTCTGTCTGATATTGGCCGATTAGTTCAGGTTTAGAAGCCTATACTAATGAAGAAGTTTGTATCACCATCACTACAAAAAGCCTATTTTTTTCAGCATGTGGAAAGCAGTGGAGGTCAATGCGTTGGGTGCCGGTTCAGAGGCGAGGAAAGTTTAGCGCACTACTCTCCGTGGTCCTGTGGTACCATCGGCCCCTGCCTCAGTCCCTTTGAGCCTGAAACACTCACAAACACGACGACTCACTCCTGCTCAGGGCACTCGGTGAGACAAAAGACAGATCTCCATTTATTTTCAGTTCATTGGTAGTCGCAGGGAATGTTTGCATAGTCCCTCTGTCTTACATTGTCCATGTTATTTATGCAGGACTTGGACAGTAATGCAGGTGGGGATGTTGGTGTTACCAGTGTGGGGAAGCGATGGCTGCATTCTTTGGATCACTACCGGCGCTTGAAAGATGAGGACCCGATCATTCCTTTTAGTGAGGGACCGATCATCTCAAAGTGGGGTGCCATATCAAGGGCAGCTCGGACAGGCTACCACACCACCGACCCTGTCCAAGCTACAGCCTGCCAGGGTAGTGTCAGCACTACACCCATCAACTTTAAAGGTGAGGAGGGATAACGACACAGGCAAAGAAAGTAGACAGGATGGTTAGCATGGGGATAAGCAGAAGAGGAAGGAGAAAAGAAGTGATGTAAATAGGGATTTTATTTCCTTTCTTTGTAAGATAGGATTGTCTGAGAGAATCCTGTTAGAATTGAGCAATTTATATAGTATAGCTTTGGCTTATGCTAAATTTGAAAAGGAGAATAATTGATACGGTTATAATTATTAGGTAAACTGTTGTTTGTTTTTTCTCTAAGATTACAACCCGCATTTGGATCACAGCGACTACAGGTGGAGCTCCAGAGGCTCAGACTCTTCCAGCCACTCTAGTTTTTTAGAGAGGTACGACACACAGTCGCACGCACTCTCACACACACACACACACACACACTAAACACAAAGCAATTTTTGCTGTTTGTGTTAGCATATTTGCTCTAACTGTATGTCTGGCTGTTTTCACATACGCACAATTTTCTACAAAATTTCAGAACGCATTACTGCTGAAAAAAAAAACTCATTATTCACAATAGTTCCTCAGAACTTAAAGATGCCCCTGTCATACAGTAGATGGGGGTCTCAATAACAGAACATGACGATAAATAGACGCTGTAGTTGTAATCTTTGACCCATAAGATATCCATGGTGGTGAGAAAAGCCGAGCTGATACTACAAAGACAGGATACATCATATCCAAGCAAAATATTATTGGTTGTATATTTTAATTATTGTCAACTAAAGTGTGGAGAAGAACAAACTGGATTACATCTGGTAAAGTTTCCGACTATGATCTGCTGTGTTCACTCACCACCTTACTCTGCTAAATTTACTAGCAGGCTGGCAGGAAAGAGTCTGGATAAGTCAGGTGAAGAAATTCTGCCGTGTGTCTTCACACATGTAGTTTACGCCAACATTTTTGGGAAATTTTCAGGAGTTTCATGTTTGAATGCAGCATCTGATTCACTATTGTTATGCAGTCTTTTCCTCTTTGTGACTAAAAATAGCCCTACTGGCTAGTATAACCCACTGAGCAGCCATAAAGGAATCCGGAAAGCCCTCTGCTCTGTTGTCTCTGATGCAAAAATATCCATTAAACAACATATCATGACTATTTTCATTGTAAGCAATCTTCCTAATTAACAGGCCATTCACACTTTATATAACTGACTTTATGTAGTTTTACCTTTGTTTTTACATCCCATGCCCAAAATAGACTACTGTATGGTTGTTTGTGGGTTTTTTTGGTTTTAGTGAGCTTCACTGCCGTCGCACATCAATAAGCAGTGGCGAGAAAATTGTGTCGGATCTGCAAACTCATCAAACAGTCTACAGCCAGGATCAAGACCGAGCTGAGAGCGAATCTGACCCGGGTCGAGACATTGAACTGGAACTGTGTGCACTTGACATGGAAGATTCAGACCCGCAGGAGATCAAGTCTCAGGTTTGTTTGATTTTATTACACAGAAAATGTTAACCATACACAGACTAAATGGACCGTGTCTATCATAATCTTCTTTTTTTTAATTATGTTTGCCTCTCAGGATTCTTTAGACCTGGCCACTCAACAGTCTCAGGATGCTTCCAACCTCCTCCCACCTTCCTGCTCCTCTCCCCTCCTCTCCTCTCCCATGGAGGAGCAGCCCCAATCAGAGGGTCCTTCGACAGAAAAGATGGACTCTCACCTGCTGAAAAAGATGGCCTTCAGGTGAATCCCCATGGCAAACATTGTTTCACAGGATCGCCCTCACTCTTGAGTGGTCTAGGACTCGATGGGCTGACAGCGTGAAAGCTCCGCGCACAAACACACACACACGCCACTCTTTCTTACTCTCGTCTCTTCCTTCCCTCTTTCCTTCCATCCTGTGTCTGTTTTCCAGGAAGTCTCTGTCTCCTGGAGGGTTGGTCTCCGGAGGCCTGGGAGTCTGCAAGCTCCTGATGCGTACTGGACCTCCTCGATTGGGGGACACCACTGCCACAAGGGTCTGCCCTGAAACATCTGTGACAGGGATGCTGCTCAATGGAAGCTAAGGGCACTCCAAGTCTGACACTGACTTGCACCAAGCAAGAGATCACCTGCTTTTCTATAACCAGATCCTGGTTAAAGGGACTACAAATTCCAGCCTTCATACATGTCAATAATATGCCTAAATAAAGCTTAACACATATAGCTCAACAGCAGCAGCGCCGCATAGTAAAGTCCAAAATAAAACATAATGTCCTGCCTTCTAATTGGTTTTCTTAACCGCTCTTACAGCTCCACAGAGAATCATTTAACACTTTTAATGCCTATTAAGATGTATGACCAGTTTGCCCTTACAGTTAATCCTGAATATGTTTTTGTTTTCTGTTTCAACCCCTGATCAAAACTGAGGAAGACTTGAGGTCACAGTATCTTCCTTACATGTTTTAAACGACATTTTACTCCTGAAGTTTACACACCATGTCGTTTTTATTTTCTTTTTTTACATTCAACATGGCTGACAGAGATGAGTCTTTTTTGTACAATACAACATTTTCTGTCTGATAGAGAAAACATATACTGTTGGAGAATTATCCACAGTCTTTCAAGTTTTCTTTAGAAAACTATTTATTCCATGTTATTCTGTCTTTTCACTTATTCATCATGCTTCAGACATGTAGAGCTGCTTGACAGCGAGTCGTCTTGACATTTCCAGTCAGATTCTGTCCTGCTCCCACTACTGAGGTTTAATGCAAAGAACTTATAATTAAAATAGCAGCGTCATTATTTCATTCATATCATTTGCTGTCATTAAATTGCTGTTTAGCTTGTTTGAAGCCACTCAGCTACTCAGATGCACGAGTTAGAATTGTATTTCAGAATTATGAAAATCTACCTATTATTGTTTACGCCTTGCTCTTTTTTTTACATCGTAATGCACTGATTTTAATTAGCAAGCTTACATGGCAATGCCCTTTTCAAGCTACATGCCACTAGTTCATCTCTCAACTTTATGTATGGCTGCACTGAAAATATTCACACATTCAAACAACGAGACAGACATGATACACAGATGATGAAGAAACTAAATCTGGTTTTAATTTAAAGCCTCGGAGAAGATTAGAGAAGAGGTCACACATCATCACTGTGATTCTTTTGCAGTTCTTATATGGTCATATGGCCTTTTATATGTTGACCTCTAACTTCAATTAACTGTCATGAGATCACATGCACAACAAGAACACATTTAAATGATCACAGATAACCGGAGGTCAGGTGATCAGTGAGTGGAATGCAGGAGGAATGTCAACAAAACAACGATGTATGTACACTTCTCGTCTTTATTCACTCTCTGGTGCTTTGAACATGTTTTCTTAGTTAACTCATTCGGCATCACTTAAGACTATAAGGATATTATTGAAAACAACCCAATGTATTTTTAGAAGGAGATGAAGCCTATTTAGTAGCTGTTTAGAAAAGACACGTTCACACAAATTAATTCTTAAAGACTTGTTCTTTGTGTGCCTGCAGTCTTTATGGCATTTAATCCTGCTGACTGTGATTGATAATCAGTCTCACTGCACTCTCTTTCACTCTCTCACAAACACATAACACACAGAGTACATGTGTGCATGAGCTTTCATTCACACAGACAATAACTTTGAAAAGCTGTGGCCTTTTTCTCCAACACAACGGACTCTTTTCTCCAATTTTAAAAGGTGTAAGCTCTCAGAAACTGAACACTGGTAATGACATTGTTCTAGCCCTTGGTGTTCTTTTGTGCTTTCCAGTCACCTTAAGAAAAATGGAAACAGTATTCAGAGGTTATGCATGATGTTTGAAGCTTAAGCCTACTGATGTTAGAACCACCACTTCTTATGTTTCTTTAAGCTCTATTCTGTTTCACTTTTTCAAATGTTTTGTTTTAGGAATTGCTAACTTCTGTGAAGTTGTGTGCCAGGGTATTTTGTATTTTAATTTTACCTAACAGAGACAAAACATATTGTCTTGTCGTCAGAACACTGTTTTGTTTCATGTTATTTTGTGCAGTGTGGCTGATTCCCATACAGACTAACTCCTTTTTATAGATCTTGTCGTGTGTTTCTTCGTCTGAATCAGTTCAATAAATAGCATGAAAACATTTGACATTTTACACAGGAATTAAAGTGAGGAAGACTGAATTTGTTTACACCTGTTTTAAATCTTAATAGATTTGTGTAGGATTGAGAAAAGTGGGGCTTACTTTTCTTTGAATCTTCAAGCTTCCACTTTAATTTCCTCTCAGATTTTACACTGGATCCCATTTTAGTGGATGTTAGAAGTGCTGAACTTGAAAAAAAGTTTTTTTAAGGTTCCAAGTTAAAACTTAAAAAAAAACCCTTGAACAATGAAATAGTGGACTAGGAACCCTGCTGAGGGGTTTCCCTTACCCCCCACCCAACATACGCTGGGAGTAACAAAACAGCACCACTTGATGTTAAGATAGTTTTAAAAAAATGTCTTGCAGAGTTCATTTCTGTGATGAAAAGGCAAAAGCTGCTGCAGGGATCTGGCTGCTCTAAGTCCTGAAATTAGCTCAGCTACCCATTTGTTTACAACTTCACTTTTGAAGTCATGTAAGTGCCATGTTGTGTACAGTACAGTACAGTACAATCAACCCCTGATATGTCCTTAAGCTTTTCATATGTCTCAATGTTCCTCTATGAGAGAAGGGAAAGTGCTTGGTCAAGAACAAGAAGTGAGATACATCTGTTGCAGTTCTGCTTTGTTCCATTAGAGGGGGCTAGATCCTTGTCTGTCTGAATCACTCAGGGAAGACTTCAGTTGCTCAGCTAGTTTGGCTTTTTCTACTTTAATTTCTCTCATATTTTATGGAAGTATTTGCCTGAGTTGACATTTTGCTAATAGCTGGCACTTACACCCAAAGCATTAAAGAATTACTGCTGATTAAATTGTTTGCCAGTGTTGACTTTGCTGTGTTTTCTTTTGCCTCTTGTTATCAATATTGGCTTTGCTATTCCTGTTCTCATAGGAAAGGGATGGGTACTACTGCATGATATAACAGTATTGTGAGTACCGAGCTAATGTCACAGTGATACTCCTTGTGTGTCCACTGCTATAGTGGCTAACTACTGTACACCACACTAGTCCCCATCCCATTGATGCCAGCAGACACACTGCACCCTTAACCCTCTCCTCACCCTTTTCTTCCTGCATCCTGCATGCGATATAGTCCCTCTTGTGATGGCGGAGGAGTATTGATGATTCTGTAGTTGTGATACAACACTCCAAGCGCTGTAAGAGTTCTGCACATGCCCACTGTGTGGCCACGTCAAGTGCTGAAGTTTGCTTGCAGCGTTCTACTTGTTTGCTCTTGAAACTGAATTATTGTTTGATAGAAGTTATACTCTCATTATGACTATTATTGTTATTACCACATGAATTGGTTGTCGTGGTATTTTTCATTCTTGGTCAATTCTAAGTCTTTGTTTTGAATTTGAGAATTTACAGGAAATGTTTTTTTATCAGAAAAGAAAGTGTTTCATTGTTCTTTATTACATGGAGAAAAAAAGGCTGTTTGTTGATTGTGAAACATGATGAACTGATGTTTTCTGACTATTCATGTCTGTATTAGACATTTTATTTGAAAATCTATTGTTCGATTGAAATGTAAATGAACTATTAAGAGATGGTACACATCTGTCATTGTATACAGTCTGGCACCATCATTAGATGGACTTATAGTATAGATACTCATTTATACAACCTGTGATAATCAGATCTATATTTCAATGTTTCAATCAATGGGGCATTTGTATAATGTTTCAGAATAGGGAAAATAAACTCCTTCAGAGACAGCATATGTCAAAACGTCCCCGTAATGAATAATACTGTTACGTATTCCATTTATTTCCTTGGAAATATCACATTGTGAAAGGTTTCCCTTTTTACTTACTGTAAAGGTAATGCAGAACAGGAGTGAATACAACCTATGGTGAACACTATTGATGTGCTTTTAATGATGAATGAAACTGTTTGAATGGTATTTGACATACTGATTGAATTTCTGTGTGTTCTCTGACTTTTCATCTATTGCGCTGACTTGCAGACAACGTGGCTGAACAGCATTCTGCTTCTGTGTTGCACTGAGAGATGCGTAAAAGTAAGATTTCAGCACATGAAACTGCATGCTACAATTAAAAAACAACAACAATGGATAAGGCTTCTTTTGTGATGATTGTCCTCATTTTTTATTGTTGTATAATCACAGGAAATGATATGAATTCCATTCATAGGCCTTTCACTACAGCAGAATAGTATTTATTTTATTTGTTTATTTAACAGCGACACAGGCAATGAACATTGCTTCATATGGAAAATACAAAGTAGATGCCATGCATGCAGGTTTCTAGCCATGGCTAAAAGCAACACCTGTATTTATTACTTATGTTAAGAATATTAAATTAAATTAAATATACAGAGTAAGAGTATATACTCCACATTCTCCCTACCTTTCATAAATGATCTGCAGCATTTCCAAACCATTTTTTTTTTTTTATTTTTTTTTTACATTTTACAAGGGTTGTTGGATTTACCTGAGCTGGGAGACACTGAAGAAAACATCTCACATTGTCTAACTCTAGTATAATGTTTAAGTGTAATAAATCTAACAACACAAACAAATGTGCTTACAAACACAAGAGGGTGCTAAGGAATCTCAAAAACTGGCATAGAACATTGGAGGAGAAATAAAATTGGAGAGGCCTTTGCGGCTGTATCACAATACATTTTCCATGGTAAACAAAAAAATCTAGTGACGTAAACATGTGTGAGTGGAACCAACTCTGCACTGTAGTGACAGGCTTATAATATGTTAGAGAGGAAGAAAGAAAAGCTTTGTGTTACAAGCCCCCGACTGGCTGGACAGGAAGGGCCAGCATGACCACAACACAATGAGAACAGTGGGTGTGTTTCTAACTGCTGACTGCTGTGGTCTTGTGCCTGATTCACAGAGATTAATCGCCCAGAATCTGCTGTAAACACACAGATGCAGTCCCAACAAAACTACCCTTCAATGTGAAGTAGGTGAGGAAGGAGATGACACAACTAAAAAAAACATCTCTTGAATGGGTGTATGATCATATTTACTAATTTATCTTTAAATGGCCAAAACACTAAACTGTAGGAGGTAGAACATTTAAAAGTGATTTTGATCTCAGTGAGGTAAAAATGATATGAATTTGCAAGAGGTCAATCCCAGTTTAAAGTTGACATCTTTATTCTAAGGACAGGTAAAACATTGTTAATAAACTTGGGCAATGGGGATGTATAGGCTACTTATACTAGACACTAACAGAAATCACACAAAATAATAACTTGAGGTGAAGCCATAGAAAGTGTCAAGTTTTGACCTCGCAAACATCCTGTGAAGACAAAGGTGTTACATTTAGCAGTAATCTTAATATAGTTAACTCTTAGCTAGAAAAAAACAAAACAATAATTGCAATTGATAAAAAATAAGGTGATGACTTAGATATGTCCTTAAGATCTTGACACTTGCCTTGACGATAGTTGAGACTCCTCCAATTTGTCTTGGAACTTAAAGTGGTCCTCAAGACTCACAGACACCTCTGTGCGCATCATGCCGAACCGTCACGTCCCCCAGCACAAGCGGCAGAGGACTGACAGGCGCATGCGCAGTTCCGGTGTCAGCGGGTTGGTGGAGCTTGTGTTTACAGCTCGGCTGGATGCTGATGTTGTTGGGAAAGTGTAATGTTGGGCCACCCGCCATTGGAATAAATATAACAGTGGGAATACAGGTAAGCTGTTTTGTACATGCACATACCTTTCTCCTCAAAGCTCAAAATGGTTGTGTCTTTTGTTATGAACAAATATAGCTACCTTTTTGTTTGTTGTAACTGCCTGTGTAGCATGGCTAGCAGGCGTAGCTAACTAGCCATGTACAGTAATGGCCCGCATGAAAGCTGCTTTCAGCGACGGCCTGTCAGCGGGGGTTTATTTAACAAATGTTTGTGCATAGCTTTACGTGCGTTTGCATTAACACAATGTCGCTGTAGTTTATCTAGTTGGCCACTGTGTTGTTTGTCGTTCTTGTCGGGACTTGTAATCGACTGCTGTGTAGCTGTCTAAGCTAACATGAACTGGGGGCAATGAGTTAACTTCAGAGCTAGCTAGTGTTCAGCACGCCCTTGTGTTATCGAGCAAAAAGGGGTCATTAATCTGTCAAAATGTATGAAGGCTCAGAAAAGTTTGTGTGGTTGCAGTGGCATGAAGCAGATTTAATTGCTTCTACAAAAGTAGGTGTACCCGCTGCGACCAGAAAGCCAATTAATGCCTGCTATCAGTGTACCGAAATAAGCATTGTGGTGTAGCCTATGGGCTGGTAGTGTAAGGTTTCTGTACGATGAGTTATTGTGGAGTAGGCTATTTACTTTTCCGAGTCCATAGTGTACAAAAAAAATCACATCTACGGTTCAGTTTCCTGTATTATACCACTGCTGCTTGGCTGGGGCTACTTTAGTTCACTTGTTTGTGGACTGTTGAACAATAAAACAATAAAACAATAAAACAATAAAACACTACTACTACTACTACTAAAGTGAATCACTTGTTTAAAGGTGTTGCAGATATAACAGTCTGTGCAGCAGATGATTAATCCACTCTGTTTTGTTTGTTGAAGTCCTGTTGTTGTCATCACATGAGAAGGGAGGGACCAGCAGGTATTATTTGAAAAAAAGTCTCTTGTCTATGTGCACAGGTAGACTTTTGAAACACTTCAGATCTGAGAGTTGTCTGCTGGCCTCAATGACACACACACACACACACACACACACACACACAAATATACAAAAACACACCAAACATATATTCTGCATGAAAAAGAGCTGAACTTGAACAGTAAACCTTGATATTGCTGCTGTGCTATAATCAACAAAGTGGCTGTTTAAATATTGGACATGGTTTTTTAAATGAATACGTTTTCGCCGACATATTTTCTGCTCTTCTTTATTTGTTGAATGGTTCAAGTTATCCTCAAGTTATTATCTATATTTCTCTCATTCTCCAGTTTAGTGAGCCACTAGAGGTTACATCAGCACACTAGCGGGTTTAATTGATTCATGTTTTTAACCGGCTAATGTCATTGTCCATAATACTTTGGTTGTTAGCAGATGGAAGTTGGAATACTTCCTACTATTAAAGAACACGCAATGAGCCAACTGTGCCAACTGTCACTCCACCTAACTCAGTGCTTTGTTCCTGTTCTGTTTCCTGAAACTTTCCATTACATTTAATCCTCACATGTTCAAGTATTTGCATAATTAACAACAATCAATGTGTTAAAGGGAAGGAGGAAGGTTAGTGCTCCATATATATTTTGTGTTATACTTTTTAAGCCAACATGTAACCAGTATGATTTATTTTCCTAGTTATATTGTTATGTTTGTCTTTTACAACATGTGTAGTTGCTTTAAACACACTCAACAAATCAAAACAGCAGTTTTAAGATTCCGCTGATCTACAGTTTATAAAGTGAGGAATAACAAGAACGAACATAAACACTGTTATTCATGTGATCAAGGTTAAAACTATTTAATACACTATCAATATTAAGCTAGCTCTGAGGTCCAGCTTCTTGTATGAAATGGAAATAGAAAATAGCAACATTTTAGCATGTGCTGTCCAACTTCTCCCTCCAGTGTAACCATATTAAAATCATGATGAATGTAAGCCCACTCGCCAGAAGCAACGTAATGCCTGATGCACTTTCTGTTTAGATTCTGATTCCACACATTTTTTCTTGCGTCCCCCTTGTGACCTTCCTGTAATTGCTCTATCTGCACTTTCTAAGTTTGAACTGAACTCTGGATATTCTGAAATCCTGACAACGCCCCTCTGATGCACCTGTCATTGGGGGGGCTGGTGTAGACTGAGTGGCTTGGCAGTGGAGGGCTGTCAGCAACAACTTCTTCTTTGACTTCTTTGTGGAAAAAAAAAAGAAGATTTATTTTGTATGGAACCCCTGAAGTCCCAAAAAGTAAAATAAATATATCTTATGTGTGCATAAGTTATTATCTTGTAAGTTCTCACTCAGAAATAGGCAAAATTACTTTACTTATCATCAACTAAATACACATCACAGTTTTATAACATAAAAAAGGATGTTGGTTGTTTTGTTTGAATATGTATTAATGTAGCAGGTAATTTACAGTAGATTAAGGTTTTAGTGGTTTTTAAGGTTGTGCCTGTTTTCATATGTGGAGATCTCTGGGTGAGTGTGAGGATTCCCTCCTAATTACTCAGATCAGAAAAGTAAATGTTTGCCTGTTATAGGGAGCTGAAATTATTCAACCTTGCAGTCATCCCCTGCAGAGGGTTCAAACTTTAATCAGTGTTTAAAATCACCGATTGCCCATTAAATATTTCATGTTTTGATCTTCCTGGTTATTTTTGGACGGTATTAATGTTTTATCGTGCTGCTGCCGTTTGGATTTCATAATAATGCTTCCTTTCAAATGTCTGAACAGACAGACATGCAAGACCCACAAATATGTTTCCCATGTTTTTGATTCTTTTTGTTGTCGGGCAATTTGTGTTTTTTGTGAAACTAAGATAAACTCATACATTTGATCAAATTCATCCATTTGTTAAGCTTGAATGGATTCAAAATGCAGTTAATTTCCGTGTTAATTTTAAATGTTTTAAAAGTGCCACTTTTGAATTTGATTTTGAAATAGTTACTTGACAGACACTTTGTCTGTGAGCACATTCTCTAAACACATGTTTCCTTTATAAGCGGTTGTATTTGTCTTTATTAACCAGCAGAGACACAGCAATGTGTGTGAACAGCCGCACATTGTTAAGCTGACAGTGGAGGGGTTTGTTGCTTCATTTCAAAGTTGAAGGAAGGCCTGCACTGTGTGATCCGTGCAGTCATGTGAGATTGTTTTTTTTTGCTGAGTGTTAGACATTCAGAGGTTTAATTTCTGGATATTCAACTGGGAGTGTGTTCTAGCTGATCTAAATGATGGTAATATTCTCAGCACAAATAACATTTAAATGAAGGTATGCATGAGGGCTTGTGTGTGTGTTTCCTTGTTTTTTACAGTTCATGTCATAAAGAACAGAGCTCCTCTTCTTTTACCTTTCTCTCCCTTTCTTCTGCACCTTGTTACTCACCTCATATAAGTTCAGCCATTTCTGTGGCTGTATCTTCCTCTCCCTTGTGAGGTGCACACAAGGCCCAGCTGGCAGCACAGAACAGCCTGTTCAGCCAGAGAGTGGTAGAGGAAAAAAAAAAGACAAGGGCTGAGATTCCTGCTCATTTTGAAATAGAGATTGATGTATGAAAAGCTTGTAGAATATACGCTTCAATTGTCAAAGTTTCCTAATAGTCATTTAGTCTGAACTGTTCTTATGGTGCATTGCAGGACACACCCAGACTTGTTCAACCTAAATACTGTTATCACTTTACATATCTGATGAGTGTTGGTTAAACCTCAGACCTACTACACCAGACACTTTAGTTTGTAATCTTAAAAATACAGTTCGGAACATGATTGCAACTTTTTTATGAAGCATATGTTAGCAACCTGCAATTGTTGAAAATACTCATGAATGTAGTATTCAACTGCAGCAGCATAAAGAATCAAATGCCATTGCATGTTTTGCATATTAATATTATTAAACTCATCAAAAATGTTGTGACTGATCCTTAAGTCAATGCCAAAATACATTTTCAATTATTATTCAAGAAAAAGATGCCAAAAGGTGCCAGAATCCAGCTTATCAGAAGGGAAGAATTGCCACAATCAATTATAGAAAATAAATGTTGGTTTTTAATTGTTTTTCAGGCAAAATGGCTATTTTTACTACCATTTGCGTATTCTCTCTTAAATTTAAAAAGCACCATATGGTGTAAATTTGACTCCCTGTGCCAATATGTAAGTGCCATATGTACTGAGCTGACGATTCAACCTTTTGTTCAGGCAACATACTGTACAGTAAATTGCAGTAAAAAGTCAGTACGGTAAGTGCAGAGGGTTTACAATACTGAACGATACTCTCAGCACTGTCTGCAGCACTTGCACCAGAGCATTTTTTTAATTGAACCTTTATTCAACCAGGTTGGTCCCATTGAGATTAAGAACCTATTTTTCAAGGGAGACCTGGCCAAGACAGTATCACACTTGACCAGATATTTCTTGTTGACATTGTAAAAAATGTGAAATGTTATCTATTACATTCCAGTGTTTAGGGATGTGACTCTTTTCTCCCTCCTTTGCAGAGTGATCTCTTTGATGCTCAATCCTCATAAAACAGGTTCAGTCACTCTTTTTTTTTTTTTACCTGTTGTCAGTGGCCTTTTCCCTAATGCGCAGTTCACTTCTGCCATGTTTTGCTGATATGAATGATCTAAAATTTGGCCCTTAAATGTAAAAATGAGGCCCATGAAAAATACTGAATATGTGCTGGTGATTTTTTTGTTGTTGATATAAGAAGAACCGTAATTAAATGCATAAGCAATAACTCCCAGTCCTAAATAAAAAGAAATCCCAAATACATAACCACTAAACCGGCATTGATTAATCTGAGTGTAGTTGAAAGCTATCTTGAGTTTCATCTGACTGTGCCATGCCTCCATCACTGCACGTTTAGATAGAAAAACAATCGTATTCATTGCAATAAATGGACAGACCATGTGTTTGTTGGTAATGCTCATATTGCATTAAAGTTCCAAATTGTTGAGTAGCCCTTTAAAAAAAAAAAAAAAATGTTACAGGCTGTTAAGATTACTGAAATTTAACGACTTTAATGACCGTCTTACTCGATGGGGATGTCTTTAACTTGAACAAAATTGCCCCTTAAGCATATAATTAATAGAGCACAATGATATTTTAACGTAAATGAAAACAAAAATACATGTAAGAAACAGGCTGAGAACCAAAATGAATGAAAAATGTTTGTTTGAGCATTTGCCTGAGTATCATCACTTTTGCCAGAGGTAGTTTGGACTAAATGAAACACTGAATGACTTGTTGTCACGGTGACAGAAACAACAGCGCTCTATCAGAGGAAACTGCTTCCTGCTTCTCTCCCCCTTTTCTTCTCCTCATCCCTCCTTTCCTCTTCTTTCCAACATGCTGCTTTCAATTGAATCTTATTTGAAGAAAGTCAATGTTTTAAACTTTAAAAGATATAAAAATATGTTGAAACAGACACCCGGAAATAAAAAGGAAGGTTGTAGCTAGTTATTTAATCAGTTAAAAAATATAACATGCTCACAAGCCTAAAAAATGTCTGCCAGTTTAAGAAATGTAGGGACCTCTAAAACATGCAGGCAGAAGGTGATGCTATAGCTAATTTCTGTAACAATCAATGGTGTGATAGTGGATTGTGTGTTGTTTTTGGCAGTGTAACAAAGCACTGTAAAGGTTGATAAAGAACAGTGTAGCGTGGCAGGAGCTGGCAGAGGGCTGTGTCTGAGGATTGGGAGGAAAGCAGCATGACAAGGCACCCATTATAAGCCTGTTGGAGCCGCCAGCTAGTCAAAGACAGAGAGTCAGAGGGATGTGTGTGTGTGTGCGTGTGCACATGTGTGCCTGTTGGGGAGTGCTTATTTGTGTTCATAATACAGCTGCTTCTGCGTGTTAGTGTGTGTGTGCCCAAGGTACGTGTGATCCAGTATGAAACAGTACTTTCTCTCTGTGTGACTATGCCAAACTGCGAATGTTGATAAGTTTTCAGTGCTTTAGGAGCTTTTTTTTTTTTTTTTTTAAATAAAGGATTTATTAGAACTAACTGGCATTTTTTTCACAAAACAGCACAAATTAAGTCTCAGCTTTAAAAAGACCTTCACACATTAATTTATCGAACTTAAAAACCCTTTTACAGTGTAAACAAAGAAACAAGCAATACATGCAAATAGATAAATAAGAAAAGAAATGTAAGCAATCATAAGCCAGAATGTTGATTGAAATTGAAACTGTATTATTTGCCAAATACACTCATGGTTGGTTCGAGCTCTACTGTTTTGAAGCCAGGTGTACTGTATAGCTCTCTGCATCATGTTCTGGTTCTACAAGTGAACAGGCCAGGTCTCCCTTGAAAAAGAGATTTCTAATCTCAATGGGACCAACCTGGTTCAATAAAGGTTAAATACAAAATAAATATAAATATTAAGACAATATGGAAATACATTGCTGTATCTACTGGTTGTCGAATGGCAGTTTTAGGGACTCGACCGGTAGCTGTGAACTACAGTGAACCAGGCTTAATTGTATATTTTAGCCAAGTGGCAAGCTCCGGTCTTCAAAAATGAAGCCAATGTGGAAGTGCAAAATCCCACAGATTGTCAAGTGTCCGCTTGAGGCTTTCTTCAGGAACACCAGAAGTCACATACACACCACAGCCAAAAGTGAGCTCCAGCTCTCAGCCTGTCGTTAGTTTGACTGAAAGTGAGGCTGAGACAGCCTGTCCTGCATGGCGGCTGCTGCCGATGAGTCTCCGGAGCCCCCTGCCGTAACAGATGGCTGATGTCACTCGGGCTTCGTCCATTAATATTTACAGTCTTATGATTTTACCCAAAACTGGACCATGATTCTCAAAATGAACATCAGATTTACATCAGATACAGACTACATCCTCTGTTATATAGCTCATGGTTGTTGATTAGTCTGATTTCTTATCTGTCCCTCTATCAAAGTAGAAGCTGTGGTTTACATGAGATATTATGGCAGTACTTTAAAATAGGTATTATTAATCAGCCAAAGTGCTGCTGGCAGGATCAGCAAAACCTAAGACCAAAATATGGAAAGACTGAAATTCATCAACACTGAATGTGAGGAAACAAAGTCGACTAATCACTCAGGGGACAAGTGTGCTAAAAATAGAAATCAGCTGCCTTTGAGCCAAAAGTAAACATCTGCAATGTCTCTTGAGGATTAAAAGCCTGAGCAGATAAGAAGGCACTGAGGAGTGATGCAGAAGTCCTTCTTAGGTTGCAACTGAGTCAGGTGCTCTTTTTCCCATGACTTGTGGGTTTTAATTTGATCAGCTGTTTATAAGTTATACAAATTTGTTAACTATATGATATTTTAAACCTAAATAACAAAATGTTTAAAATAACGAGTAAGTTACCTGTGTGTTACCTATGTCCTGATCTGTTGCTGAACATGAAACAGGCAGCAAACTATTCCACTTCATTTTTTCAATACAAGAGAATAAATAGCACACTGGACTTTCAGAAAATGACCAGTTCAATCAGGATAGACTTAAGTTAGAGTTTACAATTATTTATTTAACAGTTTTAAGAAAAGATAGTCTTTGGAGATTAGACTCGTCATGATGACTTCATGCACTCAGAGGGGTAGCGAGGCCGACAGCAGGATAGGATTTCCCTACAGAGTCTAGACACTGGTGGTGGTGGTGATAGAAGAATGCAGGATGTGATGAGGAGTAGTTTCTGAGGCTGTATCTGAACTCTGCTGAGCTGGAATGGAGGTGACAGGGGCGGAAGAGGATCGCAGTGATCGCACTGAAATGACAAACTGACTGTGGAAAAGAGAGATAACAATAGATTTTAAAATGTGACCGCAGCAGGATGATTGGTTGGCAGAATCGAGTTAACGCCCCAAATCAGCCGCTCACGATAGCAGCGAGATGGTGGAAGTGATAGAGAGGGAGTGGCTAAGTTAAATGAAGAAAATGCAATGAATGTGTGAGAGAATATAACCAGTCTTCCTGCTTGAACTTACGCTGAGCTCCATTTGTTACTAAAACTGTCAGTTTACTTTACTCTGTGTTTTTGCCCTAAGAAAACCTCCATTGAGGTTCACTCTGGGTTGCTATAACAATGTTATCATGAGTAATACACAAATTATTAACTGCATTGACCTTTCTGCTGCTACTTTTCTATTGTGGGATCTACTCTGAATAGGAAGGGCGAGTTTTTTTTGACAAGAGAGCAACATGAAATAAAAAAAGCAAGTCCAAGGAGTGTGAGGCAAGCCCTTATTTTAGAGCAGTAATGGATGAAAAACTAAGGTTGAGAGAGATATGGTGGGTACAGAGAAAAAAAGAATAGTGAAAGGCAAAAAGAGCGACGCATGAGAGAGGATGAAAGAGAGGAGTAGAGTTGGGGAGAAGGCCAAAAATAGCTTGTTTTGGTCTCTTCTTGAGCGTCTGCCAGAACCTTCTGTTGCTCCTTTCTTCCTGTGTTACACACACTGGCACCTAGCTTTCTCAAGCAAACAATAGAGTTCAGGTTACTCGTTTTAATTACGTCCTCAGTGCTATAGTTCTTAGATTTCCACACATTTTATTGAACATTTTGGACATTTGGAGGTTAGAATTAATCCTGTCTTTTGCTGCCCTTCAATCATGAGATTTATGAGATGTGAGAATATTGAATTAATCGTTTATTCATTTTGTGCAGACATATGATGTCTTATAAATTCCATTCCAATTGGTGGAAGGAGCTGAGTGAAGGAAGACCTGTAAATGTGCAGCAGATTTTCCCTCTCGATCTCAGCTCACTTTATTTGTGGTTGTGGCAGCAGGCCTGGAGTATAGTCATGCAGAAAGGAGTGCATGCAAGAAAGTACTTTCATTCAGCACATCTTTTTTTCTAAGTAATATGTGTTTGATGTACTTGAAGTGTTGGTGGGTTACCACAATTGAATCTTGATAAGATGCAGCACTGGCATGGGTTAGGTAGATGGTCGTTGTAACCAGCTGGAAAGATGTTTCTTAATTTCTCACGTTCATATCCATAATCCTTTTCCAATGACACATCACCACGGCTTTGCATTGCATCTAGCGATTTTTCAAACATATCTCCTTTAATTGGCTGAGATTGACAAAATATCCTGAAATGACCCACAGACCGTCCTTTCCTCTGATCATTCCTGTATTCTCTTCCTCATTGTAGCCTTCACTTTCACCTGATATAAGCTTCTTTGCTTGACCTTTCTTTTGCCACCTCTATTTTCTCCTTTTAAGCCCCACTCTCTGGGTTTTTTCCAGCGCTGCCCTCAGTTACCTTTAGGCTTTAACAGACCTCTTAAAGAGAATAATAGAACCTTTTCTTTTTAGTGAGCTAGCTAGGATACGGTTCAAAGTCAAGATTCCAGTTGCCTTAAAAGATGCTTTTCATGGATTTCATCACATCATGACTGTTTTCTGCTTCTTTTCTTTATTTACATTTTTTTTTTCTTTTTCTAGGGGATTTTGCTCATCATCTCCCACCACTTCCTCCTCCCGTCTTCCATTCATGAGCAGCGTGGCTGAGTTTATACAGCGGCAGCCATGGATGACAAGGGCTCGGTGGGGAAGATAAGCGTGTCTTCGGACTCAGTGTCCACCCTCAACAGTGAGGACTTTGTCCTTGTGTCCCGGCTGGGGGACGAGACACCCTCCTCCACTAATAATGGTAGTGATGACGAAAAGACAGGACTGAAGGTAAGGATGGTTGGGTGTAGGTATGGATGCAGGCAAAAGGGATAGAAAGGAGACTTAATGGATGCACTGGTCAAATCAGAGTTTAGGTGCAGAGTGTAGGGTCAGCAACTGGTGCTCCCGCGCCAAAGCTGGCTCCCTAGCAATAATATCTGGCCCGCAAGATTAGTTTGATTGTGACTTTTATTTATTTTGATATTTCCTTAACAATGCAATGACTATCAGAGACAGACATTCACACCATGGAACAGTTCGGGAGCAGCGCTGCAGACAACGGACAGCGCCTGGTGCTGAACTAAGCAGTTATCACCAGAATGACCTCCTTTTAAGTCTTTTGCAAAAAACACAATAAATTGCGTTTGTACTGTACTATTTGACTACAGAATACATAATGTGACGAGCGCGCTAATACACTGAATGGACATTGACAACGTCCAGACCTCACTGAGCGCACAGATTTGTAATAAGTGTGCTGTCCAGTGCACATCGTACATGCACAAATACAGTTTAGGAAACCGTCCCCACAGATTGGAGATTTGCAAACTGAGGGTACGAATTTGAAAACAGATTTTTATTTTGTCTTCTGTGTAGCCATATTGTACTGTACAGGTTTAAAAAACAAACAAAAAAGCACTGTCTTGCCCTTTTTTTTTGTAGGTAAAGAGCGAAAGAGGAGGTGATTCTGGGTATAACTGTTGCTGCCATGACGGTGCTTTGATTCAGCACCAGGCGTTGTCCGTTGTGTGCAGCGCTGTTCCGTCCGAACATGAGGTCGGGCGAGGTGACCCCAAGTGCGGTTGTGATGGTGTCCTAACATGTCCACGGTTTGCTTGTTAATATCACCGTGACAGCCCTAGCTGAGTGTCTGATGCCTATTGACATTTACGGTATAAAACCCTTATGGATACAACTATTTCCCCATGAAAAACAAACAAAAAGTATGGTCATTGCATATTATAATGGAAGTAATAATAATGGGAGTCAAATGGAAAGCACTAATTATTTTCAAAATAACAAAAGTACAACAGGACCAGAGTGCACTGGGCTAAATGGTATCATTTTAGCAAACTGTTAACTCACAACAATTTGCATGATTTACCCAAACATCTTGAAGCTGATTTCATCATTCTTAGCAGAGACTTGGACAACTACTGCTGTGATTCATAGCTTCACACAAACACAAAGGGAGATATAATACTTGGTACTAGTTTGCGGCTATTTGCTACAACCTGTTGGCTTTCACATGAAGCCAAAACACAAATGGTGAATGCCAGTCTAAATGGGCCTTTCTGCAACAGTGCCACAATAAAGATCCCAGCATGATGCATTTATAATCACACATTGCTTCCTCAAAGGCGAAATATGGTTGTCCCAGTGTGATGTTTCACATTGCATTAGTGGAAAAGTGATAGGCACAGTGTGTGAACACACAGCTGGAGCTTCACATACCCGCTCAGAGATGATCCGTCCGGCCTGCTGTGACGTTACCCATCGCCAACTTCCCCCTATTACGCCTCTGTGATTACCTCTGACGGTGGATCGGTGGCAAAATGACTCCCCTCCACCATTCTGCCTCCATGCATTACACATTGCAGACAAGAAGTAACAGGAGCGTTGGTAACCTGCCTTGAACTGGCAGTGTGCAAGAGCCAAAAGACTATGTGTGTTACGTGTACATGCATCCCACGTTGCAGTATGGTCCTTAAAATGATCTGTGGTTCAACTGTTTTTAGCTTGAACTCCAAATGATCCTAATTGTCAATTAGTATTGTTTGAAGTACAAAAAGAAGGCTAGTAAGGGCCAACACAGTCTCATGGTAAACCACTGCTAACTGCAGTGATGGTAGCCAAATCATCAAGAGGTTATAGACACATAGACTTTATTTTGAACCCAAAATTAGAATAAAATAATAAAAAACAAAACAAAAAGTAATAATGTCCGAAAAAGAGGGTATATATTCCCTACCCCTTTCTAGTCACATCAGCGCACAAGTAAAAAAGCTCTGCATAGATTTGAGGCTTACCTTTATTAGAATTGTAGCTCAGGGGTCTAAGTCCATACTCACTCCGTTATAAACAGGTTGTGTTCATCACTCACATGCTAAGTCTCACACTAACCATGAGGTTAACCATCTTTGGTCTTCCTATCCACATTCTCACTCAACTTTCTTATCGTTGGTTTATCTAATGTTTCTAAGATGTGTGTGTGTTTTTGTTCTTCGTCACTCTATACTAATACTAAGGAAGTTCTTTAATCCCCCAAACACTCATTTGTTGTGTAAATCTTGTCATTATCCCTGAAGTCTTGAAGAATACTTTTGATTTATGAATTATCTTATTGTAATTTGTTCTTATTATTTAAGAAGTAGGCGATAGTGGAGAAAGAAATCCGAAAGTTAGCTGAAATTCTAAGAAAATTGACCAGATGTTATGCCATATTTTACCTTTTCTACCGGTTTGTCATTTTTTGTCAGTACTTCTTAATTTTAGAAAAAATATATCCAATCTACAGCCAATCAAACGCTCCTGTTAGTATACAGATGTGCTATTTCACCACAATATGTGAATTACAGTGTGACCTCTGATAGCCAAAAGAAGCGCTGAAAGGTATTGCAGTCAGCCTCTCCTCTCCTCTCCTCTCCTCTCCTCTCCTCTCCTCTCCTCTCCTCCTCTCCTCTCTCCTCTCCCTCGTAATAATGTTTCATTTTTTAATGTATTTATTTAAGTAGCTTCCTTGTATGGTCATACTGTGTCCATCAGTTTGCATCATTCCTGTCCGCGTGTTGCTTTGTGAAGGAAGAGATTGTTGCTGTAATGTTGTGAAGTTACCAGCAGATGGAGCTAGCAGAACACTGAAGTTGCATTTACAGTTGATAGAGCAATAGCTTCTTCTTGTCGCCTGCTGTGCGTGGAGACAGCAGTCTTGAGTATAGAGTCTGTTGGATCACATCACTTGTTTTGATAGAGCTGAGTTAAGGGATCAGTTTCTTGCAGCAAAGCTGTGGTGATCTCTGCCATTCGATGGATGAAAAGCAGTGCCTCAAACACACCCTTTGTTTTCAGTATATACCGGTTCAATCCCTCCATTCACTTCGCTCAACCATCCAGTTATTATGTATTGGTTTTTGTGTACATTTCCCCTCCCAGTCAACCCATCCAGTCAGAGAGGAGTCAGTGTGTCTAAACTTGTTGTTTGTTATGCAGGTGATTTCTGAGGAAGGGGTCAGCTTTAAGGTCAGTCTCTTCTCTCACTATCTTTTCCTGTCCTCCTCTTCTATCTGTTTTCTCTCTCCGGCTAGTATCTATTTATTTTCTCTCTTTCTGTGATGTGATTCCGTGGTGATTCTGTCTGTGATTATTTGAACTCGATGTACTTTTGCCGGCTGTTGAGTGATAGCTTGGCTAGCATCTATGAAAGACTTAGTTACACCCATTAGTTGTATCTTACCACTACCTTGGCTTTTTTTTTTTTTTTGCACTACCTATATCTACAAGGCTCACTTCAATTGCATAGATATGCCGTCATGTCAGATGTGTGACCCTAAATATAGAACTGATAGGTACTTTATATCAGCTTCGAATAATAAGAAGCTTTGTAGCAAGAGTTGCATATTTGCTGTAGCGGTAGAATCCGTTCTGCTACAATTGATTGCTTTTGTCTAACAGCAATGAATCTCCCATGAAACCTTTAAGGAACAGATATTATTTTTGGCTGACTATAGGGGAAGCCTACTTGGTAAATATGTGTTGTGTTCTTGTCCCTTATTGCTTAGTCCAGCAGTGCCATCTGCAGCTGAAGTTAGCTCTCAGCAGTTCGGAAAATGTGGATTTGCCTCCTTTTGTGGCATCTCATGATTTATCCACATAAAGCCTGGTGATTGTCTTTTTTTTTTTTTTTTTTTTTCAATAAGCTCAAACAGTTATTGTTGACATGGCTCTTTGAATTGTTGATACAGGTTTTTTTTTTTAACAACATTACTCACATACCTACTAATCATAATATGGTATGAATGTAATGAAAATATGCCTCCTTTTGTGCATCTCATGATTTATCCACATAAACCTGTGATTGTCATTTTTTTTTTTTTTTTTTCAATAAGCTCAAACAGTTATTGTTGACATGGCTCTTTGAATGTGTTGATACAGGGTTTTTTTTTTTAACAACATATACTCACATACCTACTAATCACTAATATGGTATGAATGTAATGAAAATATAGCTCTGCATGTAAAAAAAATGGAACACAGAATCTTTTCCCTGAAATCACTTTGATAAATTGATTCTAAAATCACCGTTCAAGGCAAAGACATGCACAATTTTAGAAGCTGTAAAACTGAATTTTAATACAGTAATTGTTGCCTAAAATGAGCTTGTATTATTACGATATTATGGAGATTATTATAATGATTTTATTTTGTAACTGTCACTTTTTGTTATTAGTGAATTTTTGCTACTTTATTTGTCTAGTTTTTTCCTGCTCCTTGATGTGGTTGTGTCTGTTTCTATGTGCGTGGTGTGTGTTTCCTCTCCTGTGTGTGTGTGTGTTTATGTATGAATCAGATTGTGGGAAATGGAAGTGAGCAGCAGCTCCAGAGGGAGTTAGAGGATGTCCTCATGGAACCATCTGTAGCTGACGCTGGACTCGGATCAGAAGCAGGGATGGACAACCTCGGTGTTGGTGACCATGTCCTCCTGCCCACTACTGCATCGCCTGTTCCTCTGGGTACAGACCCTCTGAGCGCACCGACGCCAACTAAGCTTGAGATGGTGCTTCCTGTTCAGACGGCTCAGGAGAGTGAGCTGAATGAGAGGTCGTACCGAGGTGAGACATGGTGTGACTTCTCTTGTCGTTTTTATGTCTTTAAAAGGCACACGGCAGTTCTGTAAGTGTTAGCTTTGAAGTCGTGTTTCTTAGACAGCCAGAGTTTTATCACACATAAACACAGGAGTCATTAAACCAAATCCATAATAATAATACATTACCCAATCTCTCCCTCCCCCTACAGGGGATGAATCATCATCAGAGGGCAGTCCTTGCAGCCCCATCCCAGATGAGGACAGCGTTGTGTTCAGCCAGCTGACATATCTTGGGTGTGCCTCGGTCAACGCCCCCCGCAGCGAGGTGGAAGCCCTCCGTATGATGAGCATCCTCAGAGGGCAGTGCCAACTCCCCCTGGATGTCACACTGTCTGTGCCAGGCGTTTCTGAAGGCACCGTCAGGTAGGGGGGAACATATGGATCATATAAGTTCATCACTTGGATGATTAATTTGGGCTCTTTAATGTTATAAATTTATATGAAGAATGTAAACTGTGCACTTAGTGGTCACATGTCATACAAAGCTCACATACACAAATCCCATTTTAAAACAGCGACTTTGAAGTAATCAAAAAAACGATATTTCACTTATATTCCAACAGGTTGCTGGACCCTCATGCCAATACAGAGATCGCCAACTACCCGATCTATAAGATTCTGTTCTGTGTGCGGGGCCATGACGGCACAGCAGAGAGCGACTGCTTTGCCTTCACTGAGAGCCACTACAACGCTGAGATCTTCAGGATCCACGTGTTCCGCTGCCAAATCCAAGAAGCGGTGAGGGTTCGAGCATTACTTTAATAACTGTTATAATACTTTATATGTGTTCTGACTGCAGAAACATTAACAGACAGACCCACAACTTTGTGATTCTGTCATGAAAACAAATACTCAACAGGTTTTGCTTGAGTTGCTTGACCCCTTTCTTAAATGTCTTCAGTTTAAATAATGGGGTACAAATTCCACTGTTCTGTATTGTGCCAAATTACTTGAAAGTGTAAAGTTCACATGAGGCATTTGCAGTCTTGGTTTGATAAATTAAGTGGATATGAAAGCCTTTTTGTGACTTTACCACTGAACTTCTTTACTGGGAACAAAGGCTTTAGTTTTGCCACACAGTGCAAAGGGAATCATTTCAAAGAGCTTAACCTTGTTTCAATATAAATATGTGCCCTGACTTCTGTTTTACATCAGAATGTAATCATTGTAATGATTCCGTCATTTAACACACAATCACATGAATCAAAACAGAATAATGTTGCTGTAGTTCAGAAAGTGAACCAAAGGGGGGAGCAAAATGTTGAAGTCTTTCTCAGTCTCCCCCACTCGAGTACATACATGTTTACACACTCGTGTTGGCAGCATTATTCAGGCTGACCCTGTCTTAAATTATTGATCTCTGTGCAGCATGTCTGTCAGGGTTCAGTGTTGGAGCTCCCTCTGTGGTCCCAGAGAGATTATGTCATGCACTGCAGGCTTCAATATGTTATGTACACTTTACATAAATACAGGGCATAGGCAATCCCAGTGGCCACCTTATAGGCTAGAGGAAAATGTCATTGTTTTAATACTGTAGGTTCCACAGAAATGTACAAAATATTCACACATAAAACTAGGTTAAAGTGTTCCTCAATGTTCAGTGACCTGATTCCTCACTCGTGGAAGCACTCTCCTTCAATGTCGGTAAGAGCCCCCAGACAGACACTGTTAAATCAGACCCACATCGTCCCACTCCCCAGCATCTAGACACCCGTCCCAAACACACATGCTCACACTAAAACACGAAACACACACACACAGATAATCCCCAGCACTACTACACTTTCTTACCTAGTAACTGGAAATCTGTCTTTCTTTCCTACTTTATTTCCACTTCCACAGTCTACCTCTTGTCTCCGCCCCTCTTTGTCCTTCTGAACCTTCCTGGAAACCAACTAGTGTACAATGCCTTAAGTTCTTTTTTAGGTTCTCTCCTTATCACTATAAGAGTAGAGGGAGTAGGTTTGTTTGTTGGGTCCTTCTAAAAGCTGCTCTAGATCGTAGTTGTGATTACCAAGATGGTGCCGCCACAAATGGTTGCCATGGTTCTGCGCTCTCACGTACTTGTTGTGTTTTTCTTTTGTACATTGAGAGCACAGTTCACCGAAGTAAAATTCCTTGTGTGTGTAAGCATACCTGGCCAATGAATTCTGATTCTGATAGCTAACACAAGCTTCAAATCCACAGTAAACAAACTTAAAAGTTTTTAAACTCATCTTTTTGTGAATTAGGTGTGTAGCTATACTTTTAAATGTATACACAATGTAGCTGTACCAAAAGATACACATACTATATCTCATTACAAATGTTTTATTTGGAAAACATAATAAATAATGTTCACATACACACAAGAAACTTTACCATTCAGACCTAGTTAAGTATGGCAGGACTTCACATCTGGACTGGAACTTTTTGATGCCTTATTTACCTCAGCTGTCAGACGACAGAAGAGCTCAAGTCCGTTTACCTTCGAGCTGTCCACACCAAGTGACCCAGTTTTATAATCAAATTGTAAGTGAGAGCAAAAGAATGATGTACCCATGGCATACCACAATTTAACAAAAAGAAGCTGAAGGCAAATTGAGTTGATTTCTTTCAGATTTTGTAATCCTATACTTCTTGAGAAGGTTCTGCTTTATTTATGTCTCTAAACAGATGTGTTATTTTTGTAGCACATGAAGCAAACTACCTTCTTAGTCCTGCTCTGCCTCCATTGTGCCAAACCTCCCAGTCAAGTGCAGCTTGATTCAAATCATTAGAGCTCTGATAGAACTGTTTTCGCTGGAGTAATTTTAGCTCCTAACACAAATTAGATCACATGTTTAAAAAGAAAACTCGGGCATTGCAAATAGATCGTTGCCATGATATAAGATAAAACAGTTTTTCCAAAGATTTGTGTCGGTAAGTTTTTAAAGACAATGCTGCTAAGTAAGAAACAATAAGATATCCTGTAGGGGAAGTAAAAACAATATAACACGTAACAAGTTCCAGATCTTAAAAAGCTGCACATTTTTGGATAAAGTCTGATTACCAATCCAAATTATGTTATGTAATTACCTTTCATAAGAGCTCTGAGAGTCAAAACAGTAGTGTTTAAATATTTCCTCTGCAGATTTGTAAAGCTGCAAATTATAAGAGTTAAACTTCCCTCACAAATGCTTTATCAACTGCTTCAATAGAAATGAATATACAGTATATGACAACATTTTAGTTTTACTTGTTTAAGAGACGCTATTCATTGTGAGGCAGGAGCTCACATATGCTCATATGCTCATATGCTCTGCAGAGAAACAAAGAAACATAGAGACCTTTTCTGGCCCTCCTGTAAATCACCGGATTGTTTATTTATATACGTCTATTTATGCTGTTCTTTAGGATAGAGTATTTGCCTAAATATTTTCAACATACAAATGTGTACTTTGTCCAGTGTCTCTCCCTCACAACCCCTGTTACACTATGAGTCTGTGGGAAACCTGCTGTATGTAAACTGCAGACTGACTGGCTGCTGAAGGTCATTCTATTTATAAAATATACATTACTTGTCAGGATGGTATTTTTGCTGTACATGTCCCTGTCTTGATAGAGCTCCTTTACTGTTCACACAAAAAAGGCCATTTGTAGACTTTTGAAATTGGTCAGTGTTGGCTCCAGGATTGCTTGAAACTCCCGAAAACAACAATTCTATTGTTTATTTTGTCATAAACAAGGAACACAGGGGGGTTACCCCCATCAGACTCTGCTCATTCCCATCGCTTATATCCAGCCGGTTAAAAGCTGCTTTAAATTCTGGCCTGTACAAAAAAAGAAAAGAAAAAGGAAAAAGAGCGTTGTTATTGATTGATAACAGCAGTTTCCTCACACCATCTCTCAGTCACTACCCCCAGGCTTTGCTGTTTACCAGAATAAGAGATGATCCAAAAACCACTGTTCTGTGGGCCTCTAGTTGGGGGAGCCCTCTGTTTATTATCACACACACATGTCTGTGTTGGAATAATCACAAACACAATAGAATACTTTATCATGACTGTAAGCAAAGCCAACAAATCTAAAGCCTTGTGAGGGGAAAATAACATTAAGTAAATGTAAATACATCATTACCACCCAGTTTGTCAAAGTTGGCAGTCTTAAAGCTGCCTCACACTCCCCCACCATGAAGCAGCAAAACAAGAACATAAGTGGCTTCAGTTTTTTTTAAATACTGTCAAATATAAAGTATTTGTGATATTAAAAAAACTGGGATTCATTTTTTTTTTATTGGTGGATTTGAAAAAGTATATGAATACTAATACTTATTAGCACCAGATGCGGGTAGCTCTAGAACTTGCTGGCTATCATAAAGCTTTTAAGAATCTCAAAGCGCTCATACTTTCCCTCCTTCCATGAAGGTAAGGTAGCTCCTTCTCCCTTAAAGGCAAATGGCCACACAGTAAGGATGGTGATGCAATACATGGTACCCTCTCATAAACATAAACATAGAATTGTGAAGAACGGCCCAGCATTTACCAAATGGTCATTGATATAAAATCCAGCTATTTTAATCTACAAAGCTAGTTTAGAGAAGCTCATGTAGCTTGTATAGCGCTTTTCTAGTCTTTTGATACTCAAAGCGATTTTACACAACAGGTCACACCTACCCATTCACACACTGATGGAAGTGGTTGTTTTGTAAATTAACCATAAAAATAACTAATACCATTCACACACATTCATACGCCAATGAAGCAGCGGGATCTACTTTGGGTTAAGTGTCTTGCCCAAGGACACATCGGACATGTTGCTGCAATTGAGCCACAGTCGCCCCATATAAACTGTATATGAAGTGCTCTTCTTTCAAAACAAAATAACTTGACAAGCAATCAGACCAGTATCTGTCATTATTTTATAGGAAAAAACAACACAACACTGACTGTTCTTGAACTCAAATGCATGGATAGGAGCGTCGTTAGCCTATGGGTTATGTCGCTATGTACTGAGGCTATTATCCTCGTTGCAGCGGCTGCACTGTACATGAACATGACTGTAATATTTAAAGAAGCTGGGGATATTTTCAAACATCCTTTAATTGATCAAATGGCGAAAAAAAGATTTCTAACCTTTACTTTTTCAGTAGCTGCAGTCAATGGACATACATGCTAAAAATCCAGCTCTTATAAGGATTAGGCCAGTGGGGTCTGGAGGTCTTCCCCATGGAAATTTTGATCATTAAATATAATTTCCCTTTATTTTTGAAAAAAGGAAATTATATCATGCGGATAATCGCATTGGCGTTTATAATTTTAGGAATAAATCCTTGATAGCGGCATTTTATTGGTAGTTGGATATTTGTGTAGTGCATGTGTGTAGAGCAGCGTAGTGAAAACCACCAAAGGCTCTCTTAAAATATGAACTTCCTCTCCTTGCACATTTCTTCCTCTTTTGTTGTTTGGCAGTGTGATTTTTTGTTTTCTGGGGCACTGAATTGATTACGATACAGTGCCACCACCAAAATGACAAATTCACCAGGTGCTGTACTTGGAACTCTTGTGTTCTCCATGAAAACACCCGTCAGACTTTGACGATGGAGTACAAAATTAGGCGGCCTCAATTTTTTGAATGCAGGAAGAAGCCTGTACAGTATTGACCTCAGTTTAACAGTGTGTAACTAAATTTATTCTACACTTTCTGTCTTTTTACTTCCTGCAGGTCAGTAGGATACTGTACAGCTTCGCCACAGCATTTCGGAGGTCAGCTAAGAAGGCAGTCCTGTCATCTCAGCAGGCTGCCCCGCTCACACCTGACAGCGATTTGTTTACCTTTACTGTCAGCCTGGAAATCAAGGAGGATGATGGGAAGGGCACTTTCAGGTGAGACATGATGAACATGCAAACTTGCTGTCTGTATTGTACAGTTAGAGATGGAACCATTGTTCACTGCTCTTTTTTCAGTCATTTTCAATGATAGTGGAAGTGCCACATTTTAACAAAATATCAATCAATTGCTCAATATGTCTTTGTATAGCACCAATGTACAACAAAGCTATGTCAAGACAAAATTACTAAGAACAAAAAAATGCTACAGAAAAAACCCTTTCTCACCATAATACCCATTACACACACACAAACTGTATATAAACCATGTTACCCATTACACACACACAAACTGTATATAAACCATATTACCCATTACACACACATATACATAAACCATATTACCCATTACACACACATAAACAAAGATACAGGCAGACCTAATTTAGGGGAGTTAAGTGTTCTTTAAACATTAGGACCATAACCAGAGCTGACAGTGTTTTGGCAACATACAAATGAAATTAAAATCATGCTAATTTGGAATCACACTTTTTTTGCAAATCGATAATACAAAAAAACAAAACAGGTTCCCCTGTTTGTTCATTTCAGTCCATCCTTCCTTGCTCCCCTGTATGACTGAATTCAGTCTATGTTGTGCTATGTTCAGAATTAGCCTCAGAGTCTCAGCGTATTTGGTAAACAAATCAAAACAAACAATCCAAAAATAGGCCTGTGGTTATTTTCAGCCAGCACACATTTCCTGCTCATTAGCTCTCAGTTGATTATGTTTGTGTACTGAATGCAAAGAAAACAGTTTTCACATGCAAACATGCCTGAACTGTTTATTGGGTGAAAAAAGAAAAGATGTATAACTGTGAACTCTAGACCATCTGTAGGGGTGTACTTCAGAAGAATATTTCAATCACTTTTTTTGCATTGTGTTCTTCAGAAGCCTGTTTATCTTTAGGACCTGTAAAACCACAAATTAGTTTAGTTCACTAAGCTCAGCTGTACCTTTTACTTTATGTCCATTCTGACTCAGGGTTGTTGTGATTTAAAGCACTGTCTGAAAGTATTTCAGGTTCCAAGTGTTTGCAATCAATTTCAACTTGATCAATGGATTTTTAAACTGAAGAACCTCTGTTCAGGTTTAGGGTTTCTTCAGTGTTTCCTCAGGAATTTCTGTCAGCGAAGGTTTGGACAGTTGATTCCTGTTCCTGTCTCCAACACTGCTTTCAGAGCAGGAAAGAGAACCAGGAGCAGAATGTTTGAAAACAGCTACTATGCTTGCTTTTATTATGATAAATTGAGCTATTTGGAACATGAACCATCAGGTTTTCTCCTTACATAGGGTTTCAAATGGCAGTAAATCTACCTTACAGAGTCACTGTTAAACATATCACTGTGTCTGCTCTATAATTCTACTCTGCTTTTGTCACATCCTCTCTCTTTTTTTCTGTTGATGATAATTTTTGATGTAAGACTATGGGTGATATTTATTTTCTTCACATTTTCAGTGCTGTAGCGAAGGACAAGGACAAGCAGAGCTTCAAGCTGCGTGCAGGAATGGACAAGAAAATAGTCATTTATGTGCAGCAGACCTCCAATAAGGAACTGGCTATTGAGAGGTAAAATGAACACGAGCACATATTCACACACACAAGACTCGAATAGCCTTAGAATAAAATCCTTCCTAAATACTAGTTTATTTTTCCAGAGTTTCTAAGATGGAGCTGCAGCATCAAATCAGTGATAACACTGACTTATAATGCAGTAACTTAGAAGACATAATAAGCCAGATATAAGAATATAATCATTTTTAATTCAGCCAACTAAGTGATTCAGTATGTATATCCACACAAACCGACATTTGCTACTGTTTCAATGTGTTTGCCCAGACATGACCAAACAGTCATTCAAAAGGAAACACCCAGCTGTAATTGTTAAACACACAACGTTTCATATCCGCGTGTCGGCCCCTGTTAGCTTGAAAGCGTTCCGGCACAGCTCTTACATGGTTATTAATGTTAGCGTCTCTTTTCCACGGTCTAATAAATCGGTTAAGATGTAAACATTCCATCTTCTTTTTTTGTGGACTTCCATCTTCACAGTGGGTTGTTATTGTTTGATGAAACCCAGAGAAGGTAAGGCTTGAAGTGCTGTGTTTAATATTCCCGACGATCTGGTCTGCGTTAGAGGATCAGTCCAGGAAGCTATTTGCGGTCTTATGTGATAGTTAACAACTGGTTTTACTCTATAGGGAGATTTATTGTTCTGTGTCTGGTTCCCCGCTCTTGCTCTGCTTCTTCTTTTTTTCTCACCCTTTTTCTTATGTAACCTTATTTATTTCTCTTCTCTTTCCCTCCAACTCGCCTCTCTTTGTGTATGCGTTGGCTTGTTTGTTTTCATGTATGTGTTGTGCGCTTTCATGTGTGTCTCCTCTCCAGGTGTTTTGGTCTGCTGCTCAGCCCTGGGAAAAATGTCAAGAACAGTGACATGCACCTGCTAGACCTGGTAGGTGACTATTTTCATGCACGTATGAATGTGTGTATGTGTCCACATGAATTTGTGCGTGTGTGCTTGCTAACTTCTCCCAACACTTGCCCCTTCAGGAGTCAATGGGAAAGAGCTCCGATGGGAAGTCTTACATCATCACAGGAAGTTGGAACCCCAACACGCCTCAGTTCCAGGCTGTGAACGAGGAAACGCCCAAAGGTAACGGCCAAAAATCTGCAGAAAATTCTAAGAAAACAGTAATTTGAGCAGTTATTATTTCCTTGTGGAACATTTCACTGATTAGATTTGTTTCATACATTGTAAAGACTTTCACACTTAAAGTATCCATGTTTAAAGGTGCAAAAATTCAAGATAAGGTTTAGTTGTGAAAAAGCTTAGCTGTGAAAACGCAAAGGCAAAAAGAAAGACATTTTATGGAAACTAAAATATGAAAAAGAAAGATATCATCTCTTTGTTCTGTACATCAGTGTTTACTACAGGTGGTGAAAAGAAGAGAAACAGTCACTTGAGATAACATTAACGTGTTTTCTTCTTTTTTCTAGATAAGTTCATGTACATGACGACAGCAGTGGACCTTGTGATTACAGAGGTGGAAGAGCCGGTGCGTTTTCTGCTGGAGACGAGGGTCAGGGTGTGCGCCCCAAACGACAGGCTCTTTTGGCCTTTCAGCAAACGCAACTACACTGAGACCTTCTACCTTAAGCTACGACAGGTATCAAGTCAAGAGCACAATGTCTATGCATGATCAAATCAATTCAGATGATGTGGCTTTCTTTTTGTGTTTCCTATTTTCCCTATAAAGGTAATTCAACAGACTTTTAAAGGATCAGATGTCGTTTTTTTTTTTTTTTTACTATAAAGTTGGTCTGAGGTATTCTCCATGCGTCTCTCCTCAGATGGAGCGTAAGGAGCGCAAGAGTCCTGCTTCCGACACACTTTATGAGGTTTTGAGTTTGGAAAGTGAGACCGAGAGGGAGAAACGGAAGACCACAGCGAGTCCCGGCATCCTGCCCACAGGGCCAGGTAGCACGGTTCCTTCGCCACCTGAGGATGATGAAGAGGAAGGTGATTGGATGCTGTCTTACCTTTTTTTTTTTTTACTTGGCCTCTTCTTATTGGATTTCTTATTTTATTAAAAGGGACACAATAAAGAAGAACTGCATATATATGTTATTTGAAATGAAATCCCTGGCAGAGCAACACTTTTTTCTTTATATGAGCAATATTAAATTATTCTGTTGAAATGTGACCACGAAGCAGCACAGAAGACTCCTGACTGAATCACATGACAAACATTTGATGCTTTTCAAACAGTTATTGCAGAAGATCATGTCAGACACACAAACAACCCAAATAGATGCTAAATGGGAGTAATTAATAGATCAGTTTACTTTCCCTCTGAAACACTGATCTATTGTGATGTCCTTGGCAAAGACTGACCTTTGAAAAAATGGTGCACATCTACCATACAAAAATACATGTAAAAGTAATGCTGGGCAGCAGAATGAAGTTGAACAAATTGATCTGAAGCAAACAAGCCTTCTTAAATATGCTGCATACTTTCATATATTTTTTGCATGTTTTGCATAGAAAATGTAAAGCTCTACCCTGTGGGGATGTACCTGATATAGACTTGTGGCCCACAGGAGTGAAAAATCATGTGGGAGATCAGACACTGTGTTACAGAACTGTTTGTTCTGTATTCTCACAGAGCACTTAGCTCCCAGTGCTGTGTGCTAGTGTGTGTGAGGTTTTTTTTTTTTTGTATGTGTGTGTGTGAAAGTGAGAGGTATGGCAGATCTAATAACTGAAGTATTTTTTGTATCTGACTGTGTGTTAGACTTTGATCTGCTGGCTTTGAGGTACAGGGTTGGATTCACTGTTTGGACTTATTGTCCTTTTATTTCTACTGAACTGTTATTGTGACTATTTAGATTCCACAGTTCATTGAGATTAGCCAATTATTGTCTTTTTGGACACAAAAAAGTAGATGATAAAATGTTACATTGGGTATGTATTTGGTTTATCAAATAAAAACATAACTCGTTTAGAGAGGGTCACGTCTAATGATGCAAACATGTCATTATACATCTTAAAATAAAGGGTCTTCAGGTTGGTGGATATTTGGCTCCATGTTGGTAACATAAGTAAACAGAAAGTTTGAGACCAATTATTGTTTACTTGACTCCATTTTACCTCTATGAGGTGTAGTTGAAGGCCACGTTTCATTATGTAGGATAAGAAAAGGACAATAACCTCGCCTGTTTTTACTCTGTGTCTAGATAATGATGAGCCGTTGCTCAGTGGGTCTGGCGATGTTTCCAAGGAGTGTGCAGAGAAGATTCTGGAGACCTGGGGAGACTTATTATCCAAGTGGTAGGTCTTTGTTCCCTTGTTACATCCTGTCGTTCCACTTCGATTGCGGCTCAGAAACTACTCATACACACAAATAATTCATATGTTTGTCTGTGTGTGTTAGCGTGGTTTATTTGAATGAAAGAGCAGCAGGTAGGAGTTCTGATTAGCAGCTTATTAAGATGGCTTCCCTCTTCCATTAACTTTTAATCAAAAGCTTGTGACCAATGGAATAAAAACTAGTTTTAAACTAGAGCCCAGACTTTAATAAGCGACAAGTTTAGCAATACACACACACACACACACACACACACACACACACACACACACACACACACACACACACACACACACACACACACACACACACACACACACACACACACACACACACACACACACACACACTAAATACAAATCCCCCCCAAAACACATACACCACACTTTGTCCCTGTATGTTGTTGTTTGTTTTTAGAGTAACTGTAGACATTTAGAGAATTCATCTAAACATTGTATTTTAGAAATCATTTGTTGTACCTTATATCTGTTGGTTGGTTTAAATCTTTTTCTTTTTTTTTGTGCTACATTTAGTGTATCCTGACTCCCATATTAGCATGAAACCAAAAACACTGAATCCTTTGGAGGCATTTTTCTCACTTCTCAAAAAAAAAAAAAAACTTCTAAAAGAAAGGGATCATAAGACCAGCCTTTCATAATACTTGGCTTTGTGCAAGCGATAAGTGTTTTTGTGTGTTCAAGCCAGAGTGTTGCATTGTTGCATTGTGGGATGTCGCACTCTGGGAGCGAAGAGAGGCAAACCACAGAAAGGCCTTTACAATTTGATGCCCCCCAGGACCAGGCCTGGCCTTACTAACATCACATGTGCGCACACGCACACACACACACACGCACACACACACACACAAATACACATGCATGCACACACACAAACACACCATACTTTTGTTTCCCTTCTTAGTCTCAACAGAAAATGCCACATATTGCATAACTTCATGCCTGGAACAAAAAAAAACAAACAAGCAGAAAATAGAGAGGGATGAATTGAGAAGGGGGGGAAATGAGAGAATCATCAGGGATTCTCTGTCAACTCCAGTCAGGGATAGTTGGATTGTAAGGTACAGCTGTGCCTCCAAGTTTGCCGTCCTTTCACCCTAAGACCTGTTCATTTTTACTATGGATAGAGTTCAAACCCTTTTCTGACGAAGTCTGAGTGTTTCTCCATCTGTTAAGATGAGGGAGGGAAATCATTAAAATGTCTCCGTGTGCTGCTGCAATTTCTTTTTCAGCTCATTGTCTTCCACTGTCCTTTGCTTTCCCATGCTGCTAAAAATAGTGCCGTGTTAAATAAAGCAATGCTGCTGTTCAAATATCAGGAGAAGTGGGGTGATTAAGCGGAAAAAGAATTTAAAGAATAAATCACACTTTTCCCTGTACAAGAATAGCACATTTCAGTATTTGATTGATTGTATCCCCTGTTTGAAGTGGAAATGGAAACATGAAAAAAAGAGTGCTCTGCATTAAACTCATTCTACCTGTGGTATTAGGTGACATAACTCCTCATTGACGGGATTTTGGCCAAGCAGAGCATCTATGGAGATGATGAGGGCCCTTTTTGGACACAGTGCAGAGCAAATCAAAGCTTGTTGTGGATGTGTTAGGCAGGTGTGCCTGATATATCCATGTTGATTGGAGAAGCACAACTCATTTAATGAGGATTTTTGAGTGCTCTTGTGATTGATACTGGTAAAGATTACACTAAATAAAGTTAAAAGAATGATTTGGCCATCACTGAGTCTTCGTCTTCTTCCTTCTCTCAGGCACACAAACTTATCGGTGCGTCCTCGGCCGCTGCCAGCACTGGTGCGGAGCGGCATACCTGAGGCTCTGCGAGGGGAGGTGTGGCAGCTCCTGGCAGGTTGCCATAACAATGACCACCAGGTAGAAGAGTACCGCACTCTTATTACAAAGGTAAGACCGCATTTAAAAGTATTGCCTCTGTTAAGATGGTCAGGTCAAACGAAATTCCCATGATCACCTCATGATTTAGTGTTTGGAAAAGCTGTCCTTTTTTTTTATTGCATGACTCATACCCAAGATAAATCATTGTACTTCTACTTTTAGGCCAGGTTATTTATTGATTTTCTGTACCTGAAAGACTTTTTCATTTTGGTGTTCGGTTCGTGCTCGTTGTAGCATTTTTTTGTTGCTGTTATCGTCCTTGGCGATGATTCTTGTCGAGGTTGAACTTTTTTGAAAGTACACCTCAGGGCCACTGATGGTTCTGTCTCACAAGTTTCACTCTCGTGGTTCAAACTTGTGATGGTAACCACAGCCGCCCTGTAGGTCATACCAGCTGATTAACTTTATCATTATGATTATGTAAGTGATATTCATAGGTCCTTAGAGAGGACATGTGATTATGTAGCGTTAGAAATTAATAAGACTTGGCTTTTTCTAGTAGTTAAAAGTCAGGCTTGCACTACATGCTGTGGTATGCTATAATACTAACACTATAAATGTCCCAACAAAGTAGGTTTTAAGTGTGTTATATTGTATGTATAACTACATAGCTTGTTATGGCTCTGCCTGTTTGCCTCTACTCTGCATAACTGAACCTTAATGGATGTACAGAAACGACGAGCAGGCTTTTTTGTTACTGTGTAGGTCTGTCTGTGTGGCCATGCGTGTAAAGATCAGAGAAGACTTGCTCTCCTTGCTGTGGATGGTTAGCCCCCCTGTGGGCTGAGAACAGTGTGTTAGTGTATGTTGCTGCTCTGTCCACTGTTCTTATGTAAAGGCAACATCCCCGGGCGGGCAGCAAGCTGGGTCCCAGGTGGTGACAAGATGTTGGTGTGGGCCCCCCCCCCCCAGCTCTCTCACTCTCGTTTTTTTTTTCACTCTTTCAGAATGCATTTGCCTCTTTTTCCTTCGTGCCCTTTTTCTACCTCTGCCTTTTCCTGTATTTTGGGTTACATTTCTGGCATGCGATGATGGTAAACTTGGATACTTCAGGGTTAGAAAAAAAGGAGGATAAACTCTGTTTTTCTGTTAACATGAATGGCATGAATGGAATCCCAGCTTTTACTCAGACAACAATAACAGTGGATCACAATGCCTGTGTATTGATAGTCACTGGATAGAAACCTGGATAGGAATTTATTGCAGAAGCACTAAAACATTCCAGATTTGTACGTCAGCCAACGAACACACGGAGAGAAGTGTGGAGAACACGTGCAGACATATCTGACTCTGACAGAGGATTTCGTTTTTTCTATTATGTCTAATTGGAAAAAAACTAGGAATGATAGCCAAAAAAAGTTTATGGACGGTAAATGATTTATTTAGCACAACATTTAGTGAGCACAGTTTTAATTATTATTTTTTTTATCAAGACTTAGACACAATGGGCCTTGTAAAAAGGAAATGATCTACAACACTTTTAAAAAGAAATAATTGAACAGAAATGTTCATGTTACTCATGTTACAGAAATAGCACAATGGTACCTTTGAATTGACTAGGAATGAATTCCCGTTCACATAATCAGTGTTGCTGTTTGTAATTAAAGTGTATATATTCTAATTTAGTAACCCTTTCTTTCCCTATTTCAGCTGCTATTTTAATATTTGTACATACCATACTCATGTGCCAGCTCCTCATTTGTTTTGTGTGCTTTATTTGTTCAGCCTGTGTTTGTGTGTATCTCTTTGTGTTGCATTACATTGTATGCACATCATGTCCTAGCTAGTGGCCTCTTTTGTACCCTAACCCCTGCAGAACGGGGTGTACATCCATACTTGTGAATGCAGGGCATTGATGGAAGTGGAAGCAGGGCTTTAGGTCTCAGACATTGGACCTCTTCCTTCCCTTTGGAGCTCTAATGAATTTTCAAACATGAGGGTCCCTGCCAAGTACTGGAAGTACCCATCAAACGCTGAATGAAGACTCATTAACACTCCACCAGTAACCAATTAAGTCATTAGGCTGTGTTATCTATGGCCCACATTTTGCATTAGCTGCGTACACTATAGTGAGTAGAAGAAGGGTTACTAAGTTTGGCAAAGAAATACTTGATTGATGCAGCAGGCTGGTCCAGTGCATGTTGATTTAAATTTAGGGAGACAATTTTTAAAGGTGGTGCGACATATTGGCAGGCCACACTGAATTATTTTGCTGAGGGGTGGAACTTTTTGACAATATAATAGCATAAAACACAGAATAGTCCTAGTCTTCAGGAAAAGCAACTGCAGGCGGTCTGTTTTTGAAGCACTTCTTGTGATATCGGTGGGAATTCTTGCCACAACCCAACAGCAATCAATAAATCATCATCAACTTTTATTTAAGTTCTCGACCCTCATTTACAGTGATGCAAAGAAAAGATAAATGACAGACAGAATGAGTTCAACAAAATGAGTTAAAGCTACCACAGGAAATCAAATCAATAAATGAGCAATAAGAACAATCAAATATATAAAGTAAAATAATTTTAAAAGATTGAAATTTCTACGATGACCAGTCAACAATTAAAATCAAATAAAACAGTTACAGGCAGGTATTGGGTGGTTAAGAAGAATATTTCTAAATTGTCCAAAAGGGATGAAAGTGCTCAATTTCAGGTCATGTTTTAAAATATTCCAAGAGTTTGCAGCACTAACGCCAAAAGCCGTTTTCCCAAGGTCAGTCCTGGGGTGAGGAACCTGGAGAACCAGTCCCTCACTCAAGCTGGTTAAAAATGGAACAAGGTTCAGATGTAACAAGGAGGCGATATATGATGGTAGATTTCCAGTAAGGGCTTTATCGATAAAAAGATGTCAGTGGTGTTGCGTCTCGTAGTAAGAGAGGGCCAACCAACTTTACATGGAATGCTCAGGAGGAAAAAGGAAATAACAAATCCTATGTCTGTCGTCCTATGCCATGTGGACTAAATCTAGTTTAGTCTTGGAAGTTTTTATTTTCAGTGGTTTTTTTTGTTTTTGTTTTTAATTAAAAGCTGTTGTGTGATGGAAATGTTTGACATTGAATGATATTAAGCTATGGATCTTATGAGCTTCCTTTTATTAGAGGACAGTTCATAGTTTTTTTTTTTTTTACTTTATCCTTAGATTATTTCTTTATTGGTTATGTGATTTTTGCATAACTTCTATATAAAGATGAATGACACATCTCCAACTCATCCCATTGTACAAAAGTAAAGCCAAAACACCCCATGGCTGGCGGTTAACATATTGCACTAGTGACATCATGAAGAGCCATCGCTGCAAATAGACTCTGCCAAACATTCAGCTGCTTCCACTAGAAGATATCAATAAAAAAAATAGAAAAACACATCCAAACATCAACATGGTTTTTCCAGCTTAACAGGTTATCTAGGTGTATAAAGATACCTGTAGAAGATAACCTGGTTGATTTTTATTTTATGAATAAAAAAAGGGGCATGATCTCCTACAGACCGAGGATCCAGCACCATCTCCTCTGTTTTAATTACATTTACAACAAGGTAGTGAGCATCACTCTACTGACCCAAATGAGGGTCAGAATGTGAGACATTGTTCCTGTGGTGTGTATATGAAGACACACACATAGATGTCTCAAAGACATGCTCAGCCTGTGTCCTGTGGAGAGTAAAAACAAGCGCTCATAACTATCTGTCTGCCTACCTGACTGAGCCCTGCCTGCATAATGACCCTTCTGCCTCTTTCTACGCAAGTTTAATAGAGGCCTTTCATTGCACATTGATCACCTTCAAACCCACAATCCCCAACAGTTTGAAATGAATAGATTAGGTTCTGGAAAGTCTAGTGGAAAAATAAAACTAGAGAGCGGGGAATGTACTTCTGTTTTAGCAATTGTTCTAGATAAATGGGAAAAAGATTTTGCAGATCTGTTCTCTAGGTGCAATGATTCATTTGACGATGCTTTCTTGAAGGAAACAATCAGCTTAAAAGAGGTAATGGAGTCTGAAATGTTATCAGATGTAAATAATAGTAATAGGTTTTTGAATGAAAATTTTTCAGTGGAGGAGGTAAAAATTGTAATACATACCGTTAAAAAGCAAATTGAAAAAAGGAATTGACGAACTTTCAAACAAAGTGCTTAAGTCTCCAAAGCTGTTCAGTATATTATGAGTTATTTCAAAAATGGAATTCAGACAAGCTAGAGCATGTATTGATCATGTATATGTAGTCACCTCAATAATATGTGCTGGAATGAAGGAAAAGAGATCAACATTTGCTTGTTTCATTGATTTCAAGAAGGCGTTTGACTGGATAAAGATACATGAAGATGACTTACAGATTATGCTGAATATTGTTGCAGAATGGCGCTTGAAATGGAGACTAGTGGCAAATGAAGACAAAACACAAGTCGTACATTTTAGGCAAAAATCATTAGTAAGAAGTCTAGTTATATTTAAATTAGGCACAACAGTGCTATCAAAGGTAGCACTTTAATCTGGGATTTCAGATTTATACACAATTCTATCTTTCATGTGTGTGTCCAGTGTCTGATTATGCTGCTGGTGTCTGGGGGTTCCTGGAACATCAAATATGCAATTATGTACATCAGAGAGCTCTGAGGTCCTTCTTGTGAATGGAGATATGGGATGGGAGCCTCCAAACATCAGACATAAATGTGAAATGCTGCTTTGGAATAGACTTGTAAAGATGTCGGACAAGAGACTCACTAAAAAGATTTTTATTTAGGACAAAGGAGATAAAATCTGTTTCTGTAGATGTATGGTGCAAACCAAAACTAAGAAGATTGCTACAGTGTAGAAGCCTACGCTAAGTTTAATTTAACCAAAAGACAAAGATCCCTCTGCGCTCAACTACATTCAGGAACATTGCCTTTAGCTTTAGAGACAGCAGGTTTAATGCCATTCCAGAGGAAGACCGAGTTTGTTTGTTGTGTGAGTTAGGAGAAACTGAAAACGAGATTCAGTTTTTGTTTAACTGCCAGATGTATGCTGACA